GTTCTCTTGGTCTCCTGGTCTCTGGTTCTCCTGGTCTCTGGTCTCCTGTCTCCTGTCTCCTGTCTCCTGGTCTCTGGTCTCTGGTCTCTGGTATCTGGTCTCTGGTTCTCTTGGTCTCCTGGTCTCTGGTCACTAGTCTCCTGTCTCCTGGTCTCTGGTCTCTGGTCTCTGGCCTCTGGTCTCTGGTTCTCCTGGTCTCCTGTCTCCTGTCTCCTGGTCTCTGGTCTCTGGTCTCTGGTCTATGGTCTCTGGTCTCCTGTCTCCTGTCTCCTGTCTCCTGGTCTCTGGTCTCTGGTCTCTGGTCTCTGGTCTCTGGCCTCTGGTCTCTGGTTCTCCTGGTCTCCTGTCTCCTGTCTCCTGGTCTCTGGTCTATGGTCTCTGGTTCTCCTGGTCTCTGGTCTCCTGTCTCCTGTCTCCTGGTCTATGGTCTCTGGTTCTCCTGGTCTCTGGTCTCCTGTCTCCTGTCTCCTGGTCTCTGGTCTCTGGTCTCTGGTCTATGGTCTCTGGTTCTCCTGGTCTCTGGTCTCCTGTCTCCTGTCTCCTGGTCTATGGTCTCTGGTTCTCCTGGTCTCTGGTCTCCTGTCTCCTGTCTCCTGGTCTCTGGTCTCTGGTCTCTGGTCTCTGGTCTCTGGTCTATGGTCTCTGGTTCTCCTGGTCTCTGGTCTCCTGTCTCCTGTCTCCTGGTCTATGGTCTCTGGTTCTCCTGGTCTCTGGTCTCCTGTCTCCTGGTCTCTGGTCTCTGGTCTCTGGTCTCTGGTCTCTGGTCTATGGTCTCTGGTCTCTGGTCTCTGGTCTCTGGTCTATGGTCTCTGGTTCTCCTGGTCTCTGGTCTCTGGTCTCTGGTCTCTGGTCTATGGTCTCTGGTTCTCCTGGTCTCTGGTCTCCTGTCTCCTGTCTCCTGGTCTCTGGTCTCTGGTCTCTGGTCTCTGGTCTATGGTCTCTGGTCTATGGTCTCTGGTCTCTGGTCTATGGTCTCTGGTTCTCCTGGTCTCTGGTCTCCTGTCTCCTGTCTCCTGGTCTCTGGTCTCTGGTCTCTGGTCTCCTGTCTCCTGTCTCCTGGTCTCTGGTCTCTGGTCTCTGGTCTCCGGTCTCTGGTCTGTGCAGCAGGTGCAGTGGTTCTTCCCCAGGACCAAAGGGACACAATGAACCAGAATCTGCTTCAAATATTTGTTTTGGCCTTTGTTCAAGAATTTAGGAGTAATTAATAAGTTGAAAACCATGTGCATTTCTCTATTCAGCAGAACCAGAGGAACCTGTTCATGTTGAACATGAATCATCACTTGTATTTTCACTGCTAAAAGTACACCTGGTATTTACTTAAATTAAATGTACTTTGTCAGGACTCAAGACACTTCGCAGCATTATTCTGTCACTCCAAACACAGTGGTGATAAACTACAGCTGCCCTGGGGCACACTGACAGAAGAGAGGCAACCAGTCTGTGCCATCGGCCCCTCCCACCACCACCAACCATTCACACACACACCAGACTCATTCTAATGTGGGGGAAGTGTCTTGCCTAAGGACACAGCCACAGTTTGGCACTTTACAGCCGCAGCCGCCCCACTGTGGCACCTGCTGTTCCCAGCGGTCTCCCATCACAGCACTAACCAGGCCCTGTCGTGCTTAGCTTCAGAGGTCTGACAGAATCTGACTTTGACCTGCAGGTGGCGCCACGTCCTCAGAGCAGAAACAATCTCAGTGTAAAACCACAGTCTCTGAGTTTATTGTTGCAGTAGAGCGCCCCCCACTGGCAGCGAGTGAGACCAGGTGCATGATGGGAAATTAACTGCAGGGAACAGTCCGAACATTTGGGACTTTATAAGTATTGGACTAAACTTATATCATTAGAACACTCTGTAGACCCAGGACTGAGGCTGTAGACCCAGCACTGAGGCTGTAGACCCAGGACTGAGGCTGTAGATCCAGGACTGAGGCTGTAGACCCAGGACTGAGGCTGTAGACCCAGGACTGAGGCTGTAGACCCAGGACTGAGGCTGTAGACCCAGGACTGAGGCTGTAGACCCAGCACTGAGGCTGTAGACCCAGGACTGAGGCTGTAGACCCAGGACTGAGGCTGTAGACCCAGGACTGAGGCTGTAGACCCAGGACTGAGGCTGTAGACCCAGGACTGAGGCTGTAGACCCAGGACTGAGGCTGTAGACCCAGCACTGAGGCTGTAGACCCAGGACTGAGGCTGTAGGCCCAGGACTGAGGCTGTAGACCCAGCACTGAGGCTGTAGACCCAGGACTGAGGCTGTAGACCCAGGACTGAGGCTGTAGACCCAGGACTGAGGCTGTAGACCCAGGACTGAGGCTGTAGACCCAGGACTGAGGCTGTAGACCCAGGACTGAGGCTGTAGACCCAGGACTGAGACTGTAGACCCAGGACTGAGGCTGTAGGCCCAGGACTGAGGCTGTAGACCCAGCACTGAGGCTGTAGACCCAGGACTGAGGCTGTAGACCCAGGACTGAGGCTGTAGACCCAGGACTGAGGCTGTAGACCCAGGACTGAGGCTGTAGACCCAGGACTGAGGCTGTAGACCCAGGACTGAGGCTACAACTGCTAAAATAAGTCATATTGATTCTTTCAGCACATTCCACAGAGTAAGGTCACACAAAGTGCTCTCCAATGGAAACAGGTTCGAGTCCCCTGAGGCCCAGAGCAGCTCTATACTGGCATCTGGTGGTGGAGTCCGGTAGGAGCAGGTTTAAGCAGCTCCTGTTTCAGTCATGCTCTACTCTGAGTCCTGTGAACTTGACGATCGTTGGAGTTTTTGGTATTTTCTATGAACCATTTTGTGGATGATTTTATCCGTAATAGTTCTCACACACATGTTGTTATTGATTACTCCCAGGTGCAGATTGTAGAGAAGCAAGTTTTTGGGTTTAACTCTGTCTAACGACCTGGAATGGGACAAAAACACATTCAAAAACTCGTCAGCGTCTCTTCTTTCTGCGGAAAGAGAATTTTGTTGGTTCTGTGACTGTGGTTGGGTGACATCACAGAGCGAGAGAGACCAGAGAGAAACCAGAGAGACCAGAGAGAGAGAGACTATAGATAGAGATTAGAGAGAGACCAAAGAAAGACCAGAGAGAGACCAGAGAAAGAGAGAGACAACAGAGAGACCAGAGAGAAGGAGAGAGGCCAGAAAGAGAGAGACTATAGATAGAGACTAGAAAGAGACCAGAGAGAAAATCCAGACCTTAAACTGAGCTTTTAGAATAATCAATAACTTTTTGACGCAGGACGTCTGTCTTCGCTAACTTCTTCTCTCCACAAACTGTGTCAGTTTAATGATTTTGTATTAAAACTGTTTCAGTCGATTGTGTTTGTTTTATTTCTGTATTTTTACTCTTGTTCTCTTTATGTTCTTGTCTTGTACAGACTGGGGACTTTTGCGGATGTAAACCAATGTGGTTTTACTGCAAATGGAAAATAAATGAATCTGAAAAACAGATTGATATTTAAGGATTTACCTTTTGTCTGAAGAAGCTCAAACCCACCGTCTCCAACAGTCAATGAACACGGACGTTTTTACCCTTTTTTATTCAAACAACACAGGATCAATACTTCCTAAAACGACGTTGGTTTGATGTCGTTAGTGTTTAAACTTCCCAAACATGTATAATATAGTACATTTACATGATACAAAACATGACATTATCTCAAAGCTAAACCATATTATTCACCAAAATGTTGTGTTTTAGGCAGTTTGACCATAGACTGTATATCAGGAGTGTGACATCACCACCGTGTGACATCACCACAGTGTGACATCACCACCGTGTGACATCACCACCGTGTGACCTCACCACAGTGTGACAACACCACTGTGTGACATCACCACAGTGTTAGCCTTAATGCAGAAGATCCCATTTACAAAATAAGCCGGAGCCAATTTCCTTATAGGGGCATTTGTTCCGATGTGTTGCTAAGACGGTTGCTAAGGCAAGCGTCAGTGAATGAAGGCATCTGATTGGTCAGTGCTTATATGGCTGATACAGTATCTGGATTTACAAAGACAATAACACAATAAAAACAGAATCTCGGAGAGAGATGAACCACAGATTTAAGCCTAAGATTCGGTGAGTGTGAGTTTACTTTTCCATGGAAGTCAATAGGAGGCTTCATTGAGCTAGCATGTTAGCATGTTAGCATTGTCCACCTAGATACAGTATTTATGAGTTTGGCCCATGTTCCATCATTGTTCCATCCACACTAATATCAGGAACTTCTGGTACAAACACGCCGCCCTCCCCTTGTGTCGGAATTCTCTCTTTTCAAACTTGTTACACTGTGATGAGGTCAGACCCTTCACTTCTGTGTTCAGACGTCCTCAAACCTCAGGCCTCCGAGATGTCTGTTCATTGAAACCAGCGGCCTGTGCCGTTTGGTGTTTGCTAGCCCCGTGGAAGATTAAATGTTAGCGAATGTGAAGCATTTCTGCCCCTGGCCCCTTTGAGAAAGACGAAGGTTGTTACCATTAAGGTCTATGAGGACATGGACTTGGTGACCCTGGTGAATGTAGTCGGCTTCAGCACCAAAACCCTATCAACCCTATTGTTTAATACATCCTTGGCCCATCCATATCACTCCTGCAGGCTCCGCTCAAAATGTCAGCCTTTTGGCCATATTTTTTTTTATTGTGAAAAACACACATCTTTTGCTATAAGAACAAGTCCAACCTGCAGGTGAATCACTGACTTCCTGACGGACAGGAAGCAGCGAGTGCGTCTGAGAAGAATGTCTCGGACTCTCGGATTATAAATACAGGAGCCCCACAGGGCTGTGTTCTTTCTCCCCTGCTCTTCTCCCTGTACACCAACCACTGCACCTCCAGCCACAACTCCGTGAAGCTGATCAAGTTCGCGGACGACACCACCCTCATTGGACTCATCTTCAACAACGATGAGTCCGCCTACAGGAGGGAGGTGGACCGGCTGGTGTCCTGGTGCAGTGGTAACAACCTGGAGCTGAACGCCCAGAAGACAGTGGAGATGATTGTGGACTTCAGGAAGAGCACTGTCCCCCCGCCCCCACCCTCCGTGATGGACTCCCCCATCACCTCTGTGGAGTCCTTCCGTTTCCTGGGCACCACCATCACCCAGGACCTCAAGTGGGAGCCGACCATCAGCTCCCTCATCAAGAAGGCCCAGCAGAGGATGTACTTCCTGCGGCAGCTCAGGAAAGCCAAGCTGCCTGCACAGATGTTGGTGCAGTTCTACACGGCCATCATCGAGTCCATCCTCACCTCATCCATCACCTCCTCCATCACCTCCTCCATCACCTCCTCCATCACCTCCTCCATCACCTCCTCCATCACCTCCTCCATCACCTCCTCCATCACCTCCACCATCACCTCCTCCATCACCTCCTCATCACCTCCTCCATCACCTCCTCTATCACCGTGTGGTTCACTGGAGCCACAGTCAGGGACAAACAGAGACTACAGTGCATTGTGCGCTCTGCAGAGGAAGTGATCGGCCGCTGCCTTCCATCGCTGCAGGACCTGTACGTCGCCCGAGCTCGAGGCCGGGCTGGTCGTATCACAGCCGACCCCTCTCACCTGCACATGGACTATTCCAACCACTCCCCTCTCACCTGCACATGGACTATTCCAACCACTCCCCTCAGGCAGGAGGCTGCGGTCCATCAGGACCAGAACCTCCCGCCACAAGAACAGTTTCTTCCCCTCTGCTGTTGGACTCTTGAACACTTCTTAACCTGTCCCCCCGCCCTTTATAAAGTCACTTTACTGCCCATCATACGTCACTTTACTTCACTGTACTGCTGTCACCTTACATTGTGTGCACCATGTGCACTTGTATATTGTAAATAGTAACTGTAACTCTATTTTAAATTTAAATTTATTCTTTAGAAGTGTAAGTAAGTAAGTAAGTAAGTTTTAATTTATATACCGCCTTTTCACTGCAGATCTGAGTCTCAAAGCGGTTTACAATTGTTAATTTTGGGCATTTGTCTCTCACTCCACACACAGATGGGAGCGGGGCCAGTGCAGGAGGCGCATGCCAGAACCTATTGGACATATTTTTAGTGGTAGGGGAAACCGGAGTACCCGGAGGAAACCTACGCAGACACGGGGAGAACATGCAAACTCCACTCAGAAAGGCCCTGGTCCGACCGGGATTCGAACCCAAGACCTTCTTGCTGAGAGGCGAGAGTGCTATCCACTCAGCCACCGTTTTTTATTCTTATTTTTATTATCTCTTTCTGACTATTGCACTGAGCCAAAGCAATTTCCAACTTCTGTTACTTACGTGGCAATAAAAATGATTCTGATTCTGATTCTGAAGTTTAAGGCATACAAAACTAAAAAGAAAATTCCTCTCCCTGTTCTCAGCCAACAGGTATGTGTTTGAGTTATTTCTGTCTTGCTTTAATGCTATCACCTCCATTGTTGCCAAGATGGAGGGTAATAAATCAATCAGTTGAAGAAAACCACTTGTGTCCACACTACTGAGAGCTGGGGGATGAAGACTTCTAATCAGGGTCATCATTTGAACATAGAAGAGTAAAAGACACATTTTCTGTCTGGGTATAAATATAAACTCAGCGACAACTTGAAAGAATAATAGGATCAAACAATTATGGATTACATGAGAAACTGGCCTTCCTCAGTTACATAACATGCCTGTTCTAAAGCATACCTCTTGTTAATTATTTTATATTGAAATGTGTCGCTATAAAACTTCACACACCGTTCGTTTATGTGGCGCGTTTGGAATCTGGCTGTGGTTAAAACAGAATGTGTTTTTCAGGCGGTGGCGGAGGAAGAGAAGGTTAATATTCAGAGGACGATCCAGACCAGAGTGTGTGAAAAGTTGGATGGAAATAGTTTTGGTTTGAGCTACCTCCGTGCTAATGCTCAAACCTTCCGTCCCTTCTGTTCAAAGTCTGTTTTCAAACTCGGTACACTGCGAATCAAAACCAAAGTGGTTTAGGGAGTTGCTCCGGTGCAAACATGTTCTGTGTGTCTTCACAGCACAGTACAGGGTTCAAACGTGGGCAAATGAGAGCTACTTTTTAGTGCTGAGCAACGTATCCTGAGGGTTTGAGACCAACAGTGAACAATATGAGTCAAACTGACAAAGATGAGATGACCATGAGACAACAGAACAACCACTACACTGAACCATATGTCGAGCCACAAAAGGAAGCCGAGGTTAATGCTCCTCTGGTTGAGAAAAACTGTTTTCCATAAAGAATTCACAGGCAGGTGGCCCCAGCTTCTCATGGACAAACTAGAGACAGCTGGAGTGGATCCTGGACTACCTCATGACGGACCCCAGTTTGTGAGACCCAGGGACTTTGTGTCTGAGATGCTGACCTGCAGTGTAGGGGTACAGTCCTCGCTCCGTTCCTCTTCACCCTCTACACTGCGGACTTCAAACACAGCACGGACGGTTGTGTTCTACAGAAGTTCTCCGACGACTCTGTCACCATCATTGTCATCATCATCATCACTGAGTGCAGAGGACTCGCACAGGACTTTGTGGACTGGTGACATCGGAACCACCTCCTCATGAACAGAAGACCAAGGAGATGGACCACCTCCTCATCAACAGAAGACCAAGGAGATGGACCACCTCCTCATCAACAGAAGACCAAGGAGATGGACCACCTCCTCATCAACAGAAGACCAAGGAGATGGACCACCTCCTCATCAACAGAAGACCAAGGAGATGAACCACCTCCTCATCAACAGAAGACCAACGAGATGAACCACCTCCTCATCAACAGAAGACCAAGGAGATGGACCACCTCCTCATCAACAGAAGACCAAGGAGATGGACCACCTCCTCATCAACAGAAGACCAAGGAGATGGACCACCTCCTCATCAACAGAAGACCAAGGAGATAAACCACCTCCCCATCAACAGAAGACCAAGGAGATGAACCACCTCCTCATCAACAGAAGACCAAGGAGATGGACCACCTCCTCATCAACAGAAGACCAAGGAGATGGACCACCTCCTCATCAACAGAAGACCAAGGAGATGGACCACCTCCTCATCAACAGAAGACCAAGGAGATGGACCACCTCCTCATCAACAGAAGACCAAGGAGATGGACCACCTCCTCATCAACAGAAGACCAAGGAGATGAACCACCTCCCCATCAACAGAAGACCAAGGAGATGGATGACCTCCTCATCAACAGAAGACCAAGGAGATCCACCACCTCCTCATCAACAGAAGACCAAGGAGATGGACCACCTCCTCATCAACAGAGGCAGATAGACTACCAGTGGTTTTAGTTCCGCTGGCTGTTTAAATGTGTCCTGAGAGTCCTTAGACTGTTTCCCCTTCTCCAGATGCTGCTGTGTGAGTGTGGTGTCGACTATTACACCACGCCATGTTAGATTTAGATGTGATTTTCCACTTCAATCCGTTTTACATATTTCTGCTTGAGACGCAGTTTATGAGCTCAGAGGAAGTCGCTCCCCCCGGTGATGACGGCCTCCACGGGGCTGATGACCAGGGGCCCCGTGTTCTTGCCGTTGTCCCGCAGACAGGGGTTGAAGTACGGGTGCAGCGGCTCGGCGAAGGCGCAGCCGCTGAAGGTGTAGATGTGCACTTTGTTCTCGGCGTCGTAGAAGGAGACCTGGCCCTCAGTGTGGTCCAGGAAGATGCCCACGAGCTGCGGGGTTTCCCTCAGGGGCAGCGGCACCGAGGGGCTGGTGCACGCACTCAGACAGCCGCTCTTGCGCCGGCAGATCGCCCAGAAGCCGCAGTCCGGGCTCACCGTGATGGCGCCCTTACGGTTTATGGACTCTTTGGCCACGCCCAGGTCCCAGTCTGTTTTATCTCCCACCTGGATTATAACAAGAAGAAGGGAGAGAAGAAGGGAGGGGTTGAGACTATCCTTAATCCTGTGAAGAAAGGAAGTTATATCACATACACACACATGCAGATATACCAGACACACACACACACACGAACACACGTACACACACATGCAGATATACCAGACACACACTCACAGACTTTAGACAGACTAATCACAGACAGAACTAAGAGTCGAGCACATAACACAGTGCAACAAATCTTGAACTATTGCCACTAAAGCTAAAGTGCTGTATTTATTCGTCTGTTCAGTGGTTGTTACCTGCACGACCCAGTAGTGTCGGCCGCAGCTGAAGCTCTGTTTGCCCAGAACTGAGACACAGGAGTCGAAGCGTTTGGGATCATCGTACAGAGAGCTGCGGCGAGTCTGCGGGTTCACGCTCACCTGCACCACACACACATCAGCGTCTCTAATGTCTGTTCATGTGATCAACAATACACTGTCTGTCCATGTTCATGTGATCAACAATACACTGTCTGTCCATGGTCATGTGATCAACAATACACTGTCTGTCCATGTTCATGTGATCAACACTACACTGTCTGTCCATGGTCATGTGATCAACAATACACTGTCTGTCCATGTTCATGTGATCAACACTACACTGTCTGTCCATGTTCATGTGATCAACAATACACTGTCTGTCCATGTTCATGTGATCAACAATACACTGTCTGTCCATGTTCATGTGATCAACAATACACTGTCTGTCCATGTTCATGTGATCAACAATACACTGTCTGTCCATGTTCATGTGATCAACACTACACAGCTATGACACATATACACAGGGTGAACGTCAAATATCTGAACGGGCCGAGTATGGACCCTTGAGGAGCCTCAAGGAGGAGCCTAAAGACTAGAGGACATTTAGCTAAATTTCAGCCCTCCACAAGTTCAGGGAGGCGTGGCCCAAGTTGGGACTCTCATTTGTTTTTAACTACCTCTGAAACAGTTTTGCGCTTTACCAATCGTTATTATTAAATTTATTTATTTATTTATGTCACACATACAGTGTTCATGCTTTTACACTGATCCGGCCCATGTAAGTTTTGCTTGTATGAATGGATGTGTTTCTGCTGCTGGACACCTAAATTTCTCCTCCAGGGATCAATGAAGTATCTACTGTATCCATCTATCTATCCAGTCTGTGGGGTCACAGTCACATGAGAGACAAAACCTCAGAGTGAGGCCGCCGCTTCACGACAACAACAACAACAATATACAGTAGATCTGACAGAAATAGAACCAGCTCAACCAGCTGAAGCTCTGCATTAAGAACATGTTTCTGAACAGGTAAACGTCTCTTTATTAAGTCTGACAAGATAAACGTCGGATGAGGTGTTTCTCCACAGAATCATTAACTCATTAAAAGTCAATAATAGATTTGTGCTGCACCTGTTTTCCATCCACAGACAGGACAAGCCACCCGGCCGCAGTGCAGGGGTCAAGGGTCACGTCCACTGAAGGAGGAACCAGAGACAGATACATTAGGACACAGAAGAGACCAGAGAAAGACCAGCGAGAGACCAGAGAGAGACCAGAGAGGCCAGAGAGAGGCCAGAGAGAGAGAGATCAGAAAGAGAAAGACCAGAGTCAGGGATCTGTGAGGATTAAGCTGCAGAAGAAACACTTGAGGTGAGATAAGAAAAAGAGCTAAGAATTAAGAATTTGCAGAATACGTCAATCAGTCAAACTCACCTGCGTACTGCGTCATCAGGCTGAGCTCTGCAAAGAAAAGACCTGGTTACTCTGAGAACAATGAGCTCACACATTCTCTTCTCACCCCCTCCTCACCTTCACCCCCTAATCCCCACCATCTCCTCACCCTAACCCCCCTCACCCTCACCCTCTAAACCCCACCCCCTCCTCACCCTCTCTGGTCAGCTGAGTCTGCACGTCCAGGCAGAAGTCCACCATCTTGGAGAAGGCCTCTCTGACGGCGCTGACCGAGCCTCCGACCTGGAGCTTCAGCTGCGACACGTCGTGAGTGAAGCCGGGCGCCATGAGGGACCGGAAACTCTGCAAACAACGTCAGTGTTTAAAGGAGACGTCTGCGACCTGGACTCGTGTGTGTAGACAATATGTGCTGTGAGCATTGATGGATTACACTGTCTGGAATACATTGCTAGATTAAAGCTGGGCCCCGGCCTGATGGAGGACCAGGTACAAGGTTCACCAGGGCGACCCAGGGCATGTCCCCATAGACCTTCACCATGCTCTAATGAGCACATGGCTTTCATTTTAATGTTCCCATGATCTTGACTTTCTGTCTGAATGCGGCCACACAATCCTTCTGACTTTTTGGTTTTTAAGCAGGAGTTTCTGTCTGGAGGCTGTGTTTCTAACCTGGATGCCCCGCCCCTTCTGTCTGGATGCTGTGTTTCTAACCTGGATGCCCCGCCCCTTCTGTCTGGATGCTGTGTTTCTAACCTGGATGCCCCGCCCCTTCTGTCTGGATGCTGTGTGTCTAACCTGGATGCCCCGCCCCTTCTGTCTGGATGCTGTGTGTCTAACCTGGATGTCCCGCCCCTTCTGTCTGGATGCTGTGTTTCTAACCTGGATGCCCCGCCCCTTCTGTCTGGATGCTGTGTTTCTAACCTGGATGAGGTGCAGTGGGTCGTCGATCAGCTCCAGTTGGTGGATTTCTCCTCGTCTGCGGTTGAGCTCGTTCAGTTCCAGGTTCAGTTTTTTGTTCAGCTGCTCGTGTCTCTTCTCCAGCTCCAGTTGTTTGGCCTCAGACTGCTCTACCAGCGCCCCCTGCTGGCTCTCCATGGCCACTTTCACCACATGCAGCACCTGCAGACTGCGCTGCAGCTCCTCTTCTTTCACTTTCTGTGAAAACACACAAACACACAGCAGTGTTAGAACAACGACAGACAAAACGCTGTAGGAAGAACAGAGCACTTTAAGGAGATCCTTCATCACAGCAGTGTCACCTTCTACATTTAACTGAACTTCTACTGAAGGACCAGAAATCTGCCCTAAAGGGATCAGTAAAGTATCCATCTTCTAGAAGAACTATGACTAAAAGAAGTCGAGGAAATGTGTCATAACCTGTGTCCAAAATGATATATTCACTATCTAACAACAGGTAATTATTATATTTTTAATTAGTTTATTTGAATAGAGACGTACACATGAATCAACATTGCTGTAAATGTGTCAGTGCTAAGCTATGTTCATTAATCCACAGAAATAAATCCAACCAAAAGGTGTGAAGGCTCAGATGGAGAACGGGAACAGAAGGAACCCTCAGGTCCCACAGAGACACAGTCAGGACGACCTGTACCGTCACATTAGGACATGTTGTACTGATGTCACATGTCCCCATGGCCCTTGTCTCTGGAGCCTGGTGTGTGATTGGAGGACTGCCGGCCATAGTGTCAATAAAGTTCGAGGTGTGTAAAGATCTGTCTTATCTCTGATGTGTGACAAACACTGAGGGACACTCCTGTGACTTCTTTGGTCTGTCTCTTTTTAGTTATCACTGAGAGTTTTGTTGTGTGTGTCAAACAACAAAACTTGAATTGTAGTGAGACAACAGTAGGATTAGGGTGAAGTTTCTGTGGTCTTTAGATTGTTCTGCTGTTTGTCTGAGTGTAATGTCATCTGGAAACTGTGCTTTCTTGTTTTGGTCGTGAGGGAATAAGTTCAGGCTGCCTCACTTCAATCTGCCCCGAGCCATGATTCAAGATCAACAGCAACATTCTAACACTACAAACACGTTAAACTGTCCTACTCTTTTGTTTCAGCTTTGACACTTGCTCTACATTGTTATACAGTAGGTCATTAAGATGCATTACTCACACCTCCCTGAACATTGTGGACTTGTATACAGTACATCTGTGCGTAATTACTTTAATGAACTTAAGTGCTCATGAACTGTCACCCATTAACTTGTCAGGGAGAGTTATGTAAAAAGCCAAACCTGTCATTATTACAGTATACTTCAGTGTACTGTGTGAGTATTAGCAGGCCTCACTTTGCCCTGGTCCAGACTCTCCTTGAGGTCTTGGATCTTCTTGGTCCGAGCCATAATCAGGTGATGGAAGTCGACCTCTGCTTTCTTCATTTCACTCTGGAACAAAAGATCTGAATTTACACTTTATAGATGTTGTATCATGTTACAGCAGAACAAGAGACCAGACTTTACACGTATATAGATGTACATAAAGATATATATGTATATATAGCATACAAGTGCTATTCGGCTAGGCCTCCACCGCATCCTGCGGGCCTGGATATGAGCTGTCTTTGGCAAATAATGGGGGTGGAAACATCATGATTTGGGGCTGCTTTTCTGCAAAGGGTATGAGATGACTGATCAATGCCATTTTCTGTATTTTTTCACATTCAGTCAATCACAGTTTAAGTGTTTCTTTGATGAAAATTAAGAACCACTATTTTTTTTTTAAGTGGGACTAGTACAATAACTACTACAATAGGTAACTACGCTAGTGCTGTATACTCTTCTTCTATTGACATGGCCTCCAGGTGCTTGCACACTTTCTGTGTATTAGGATCCCTAAGGGTATAGAGAGGGTGGCTCTGTGACAGGGCTGGATCTATTCTCGAGTTCGACCGCCTGAGGCGTTGCAATTTGAGATAAGAGGGGAAGGGGAAAGCAGGGGAGGATCATATGGGAGTTTTAAGAGTTGTGGTGGTAGAGGACATGAAGGAGGCTGGGGAGGACAGGGTTTGGGTGACCAAGGTATAACAGTATAGTGTGACGTACCAGGACTCTCTGGCTCTCCTTCTCGATGGACACGACCTCATGATGCTTGTGCTCTCGCTCCGTGCACTTGGAACACACTAACTGCTGGTCGGTCTGGCAGAACATCTCCAGCAGGCGGCTGTGTCTGCGGCAGGTGTGGCTGGAGATGAAGGTTCCAGGGTCCGTCAGCATGTGCTTGGTCATGACGGGGTCTCTGAGGTGTGGGACCAAGTGGTTCTCGCAGTAGGACTCTCTGCAAACCAGGCAGGACTTCACAGACAGGCTCTGCTCCAGCCCCTCCTTCTCACACTCATCACAGAACACATCGTACAAGTTGGAGCTCTGCTTGGAGCGACGGCGACGTGGGGGCGGCTTCTCCCTGATGGGGTTATTGGATATCCTGTGTGGAAAGCCAAACTTTATTATTATCTGCAGAGCATTTGTTTCATGAAGTTATCTGAGAGAGCACCCAGACCCCTACGGTCTCTGGTTAAATCCACAAAGACCTCTGCAGTGACACTGTACCCCAGCAATTTAGTGCCACGGACCCGTTTGATTCTGATTCTGATTTATTGCAGACAATAATGGCCCAGATTGTCTGCATTGATGTCTCTCTACATCCTTGTATGTTCTGAGGCTTTAGGTGCTCGCTGGCCCTGAGGGAAGGAAGTATGATGCTGATTGGTTAATGCTACAGGTTTGTTTTCATTCACTTTAAGCTGCATGGACCAGCACTGTTGCTTCTGAAGACCAAGATCCTGGCAAAAACCCTGAACACTAACGTCAGACCTCCGCATTATGACTTGGGGCTAGAAGCTGCATCAAACTATGGGAAATATTTTAAAACATGTGGCAAAAGAAGAACATTTATATATTCCTGGTTATGTTTAGGCCATTAGAGAAGGCCTTGCTAGCCATGAGCATCCACCACTGAACCTCATCCAAGAGTGACATCAACACATTTTTCCTGTTCTCTCCATAGCTCTGGATAATCGCCTGGAAACGGCTGCAAGTCCTAAGTAGCTCTAAAATTGTTGTTTTGTGTTAAATCAATTTTCATTTTTCGTGCTTTTTTCTGCCTGAGATGTTGCTGCAGTACAGTGTTAATGGTTTTACACTGGTCCAGACCGGAGCGGAGAGGATTCATGGTCCGAACCAAGCGGACCAGGAGAAAATCCACTGGAGGAATGCTAACTTTTTGAAAAATGCTAATGAAGCATTTAGCATTTTACTTTGGACTAGAGCAAAGAAAATGGTCCGAACCAAGCGGCTACTCCACCTTTTGACCCGTCCTGCTCCACCCAGAGGCTACTCCACCTCTGCTGCTGTGACCCGCCCTGCTTCACCCAGAGGCTACTCCACCTCTGCTGCTGTGACCCGTCCTGCTTCACCCAGAGGCTACTCCACCTCTGCTGCTGTGACCCGCCCTGCTTCACCCAGAGGCTACTCCACCTCTTCTGCTGTGACCCGCCCTGCTTCACCCAGAGGCTACTCCACCTCTGCTGCTGTGACCCGTCCTGCTCCACCCAGAGGCTACTCCACCTCTGCTGCTGTGACCCGTCCTGCTCTACCCAGAGGCTACTCCACCTCTGCTGCTGTGACCTGTCCTGCTCTACCCAGAGGCTACTCCACCTCTGCTGCTGTGACCCGTCCTGCTCCACCCAGAGGCTACTCCACCTCTGCTGCTGTGACCCGTCCTGCTCTACCCAGAGGCTACTCCACCTCTGCTGCTGTGACCCGTCCTGCTTCACCCAGAGGCTACTCCACCTCTGCTGCTGTGACCTGTCCTGCTCCACCCAGAGGCTACTCCACCTCTGCTGCTGTGACCCGTCCTGCTCCACCCAGAGGCTACTCCACTTCTGCTGCTGTGACCCGTCCGGCTCCACCCAGAGGCTACTCCACCTCTGCTGCTGTGACCCGTCCTGCTCCACCCAGAGGCTACTCCACCTCTGCTGCTGTGACCCGTCCTGCTCCACCCAGAGGCTACTCCACTTCTGCTGCTGTGACCCGTCCTGCTCCACCCAGAGGCTACTCCACCTCTGCTGCTGTGACCTAAAGGGCTGTTGCTGATTATTACTATTATTATGTTTTTAGAATGATCGATTTAATGTTTATTTTTGCTGCTACTGGACACCTGAATTTCTCCTATGGGGATCAATAAAGTATCTATCTATCTATCTATCTATCTATCTATCTAATCAGCTGCTTCCCTCTCTGGGCTCTGACTCTAGCAGGTTTCTCGGAGGACACTGAGGAGATGTCACCTTTTGATCTGGCCGATGAGGTCCCTGAAGGCCAGGTTCACGCAGAGTTTGGGCCGGCTCTTGAACGTCTCCTTGCACAGCGGACAGTCGGCTTTGCTCCTCGTGTCCCAGTAGTGCTTGATGCATCCCAGGCAGAAGTTATGGCCACAAGGGATGGACGCTGGGTTCTTGAAGATGTCCAGACAGACGCTGCACCGGAACTGCTCCTCAAGGAATGTGCTCGACATGATGAGACTGGAAGAACATCACAGAAAGATCACATTATGATTGATGATTTGATTAGAAGGTGTGAGCTTTTATTGTTAGCATATTCACAAAACAAAATAACTTCAGTCGTGCTCTCGTTCAGGTTGAGGAAGGTGGCAGACTGCTATCTTAAGCTGGACTATCTCACATTATTTTTGCATTCATTTGGGATGTACGTACGTCCTTTTGAAGTAGCGCAAGTTTGTACTGGAGTGTTTTTTTTTTAAGATTGAATTTTTGCGCAACGGAAATGAGAATTTATTATATATGTCCACTGGCCCCCACTTTCTTGAGAAAATCTACAGGTCCCCAGTTAGCACAGAGAGTTTGAAGGACCGGGGGAGAGGCACCAGGAAAGAGGCACCAGGAAAGAGGCACCAGGAGAGAGGCACCAGGAGAGAGGCACCAGGAGAGAGGCACCAGGAGAGAGGCACCAGGAGAGAGGCACCAGGAGAGAGGCGCCAGGAGAGAGGCACCAGGAGAGAGGCATTGGGAGAGAGGCACCGGGAGAGAGGCAGGAGAGAAACCAGAGAGACCAGAGAGAGACCAGAGAGAGAGAGAGGCACCCGGGGGGAGAGAGGCAAGATGAGAATTGTCTTGCCTGGGCCAGATTGGACAGATCATGTCCCGGGTCAGGCCTCGCTCAGAGCCTGTGATTGGACAGATCATGTCCCGGGTCAGGCCTCGCTCAGAGCCTCTGATTGGACAGACCATGTCCCGGGTCAGGCCTCGCTCAGAGCCTGTGATTGGACAGACCATGTCCCGGGTCAGGCCTCGCTCAGAGCCTGTGATTGGACAGACCATGTCCCGGGTCAGGCCTCGCTCAGAGCCTGTGAATGGCCAGACCATGTCCCGGGTCAGGCCTCGCTCAGAGCCTGTGATTGGACAGACCATGTCCCGGGTCAGGCCTCGCTCAGAGCCTCTGATTGGACAGACCATGTCCCGGGTCAGGCCTCGCTCAGAGCCTCTGATTGGACAGATGTGACGATCATGACTTCAGAATGTCAACGAGTTCTGGGCGCGGACCGTTTTTGCTAATTACAGATTTGAATGCATTTATTAAAATACACGTGTGTTCGTTCTGAGCACAGTAATTAGGTGTACTCAGCCTGGACGTGAACTCTACTCTAAAGCTGAGGAACAAAACATTCAAAACACAACCATGAAGCAAAGTCATGAACCAGGAATCAGCAGATCCCGCCTCCAAAACCTCTGTCCATGGTTTTCAAGTGTTTTTGGTCTTTGTCATATGTTTGGATCAGATTTTTCAGATAGAAAAGGGAAAAAAGAGAGACCAGGGAGTGAGCAGAGAGAGAGACCAGCGAGAGAGATCAGAGAGAGACCAGAGGGAGGAATCAGAGAGAGAGAGACCAGCGAGAGAGATCAGAGAGAGACCAGAGGAAGGAATCAGAGAGAGAGACCAGAGATAGACCAGAAGGAGACCAGAGAGAGACCAGAGAGAGGGATCAGAGAGAGACCAGAGATAGACCAGAAGGAGACCAGAGAGAGACCAGAGAGAGGGATCAGAGAGAGACCAGAGAGAGAGAGACCAGAGAGAGAGACCAGAGAGAGAGACCAGAGAGAGACCAGGGAGAGAGACCAGAGAGAGAGACCAGAGAGAGACCAGAGAGAGACCAGAGAGAGACCAGAGGGAGACCAGAGAGAGACCAGAGAGAGGGATCAGAGAGAGACCAGAGAGAGACCAGAGAGAGACCACAGAGAGACCAGAGAGAGGGATCAGAGAGAGACCAGAGAGAGACCACAGAGAGACCAGAGAGAGACCAGAGAGAGACCAGAGGGAGACCAGAGGGAGACCAGAGAGAGGGATCAGAGAGAGACCAGAGAGAGGGATCAGAGAGAGACCAGAGAGAGGGATCAGAGAGAGACCAGAGAGAGTAGTTTTTAGAGATTTTAATGAGCCACAGATTTTCACTGAAGTAAAAATCTTTAAAATCCAAACATGAGAAATAACAGAATAACAAAGGCACGTTTTTCACATGAATCATTCTTTTCTTTTGGCCTCATAATTACAGCTTCACTAATAATTATCATTAAATCCAACAGTTGTAATTCAAAGTCTGTATTTAGTGTATTCCATCAACAACAGTCTCCTGCATGGAGGCTGAGTGGATAGCACTCTCGCCTCTCAGAAAGAAGGTCCTGGGTTCGAATCCCGGTCGGGGCTTTTCTGGGTGGAGTTTGCATGTTCTCCCCGTGTCTGCGTAGGTTTCCTCCGGGTGCTCCGGTTTCCCCTACCACTAAAAATATGTACAATAGATCTGTCATGTGCCTCCTGTACTGGCCCCGTTCCCATCTCTGTGTGGAGTGAGAGACAAATGCCCAAAAATAACAATTGTAAACCGCTTTGTGACTCTGGTCTGTGAAAGGCGGTATATAAATAAATATTACTTACTGTAGTTGACCCAGATTCAGATCATTATGAACAATATTGTTGTCTCCACAAATACTACATCAGAGAGTAGACAGAATGAGTTTGTCAGAGGTCATTTAGCTGGTTTTGGCCTCAATCATTTCTATTTTTATTTTTTATTTTTTTATTTTAATGAATATACACTGTCCCTTTAAGGATCGCTGGTACTTTCACACGTCTGAATCTACAAAACAGAGATCTGTCTCATCTCTCGACCAAGAATCAAAGTAAGAGCAGTGTCCAAAGCCTTTTTAGATGATAAGTTCCTGTGTACTGCAGTTTATTATTATATTCAGTCATTCTGTAGATTTGAACTTAGGTCACATGTTTCCAAAACTCAAATTCCTTCTACAGTGTGTAAAACAAATCCTCTAAATAATGTCTGAGGGTGGTTCAGGCTGAAGCAGAGACTGATCCTGATGAACATTACAGCGGTGACGACGCATTTCAGTTTATCATTTACCAACGATGGAAACATGCTGCACAAAACTTAAACTACAGCGTGCTGTGTGTGTCTGTGTGTCTGTGTGTCTGTGTGTGTGTATGTGTGTGTCTGTTCTGTGTCTGTGTGTGTCTGTTCTGTGTGTGTCTGTTCTGTGTCTGTGTGTGTCTGTTCTGTGTGTGTGTGTGTCTGTTCTGTGTCTGTGTGTGTCTGTTCTGTGTGTGTGTGTGTCTGTTCTGTGTCTGTGTGTGTCTGTTCTGTGTGTGTCTGTTCTGTGTCTGTGTGTGTCTGTTCTGTGTCTGTGTGTTTGTTCTGTGTGTGTGTGTGTGTGTGTCTGTTCTGTGTCTGTGTGTTTGTTCTGTGTGTGTGTATGTGTGTGTCTGTTCTGTGTGTGTGTGTGTGTCTGTTCTGTGTGTGTTCTGTGTGTGTGTGTCTGTTCTGTGTGTGTTTGTGTGTGTGTGTCTGTTCTGTGTGTGTGTGTCTGTTCTGTGTGTGTCTCTGTGTGTGTGTCTGTTCTGTGTGTGTGTGTCTGTTCTGTGTGTGTCTGTGTGTGTGTGTGTGTGTGTGTGTCTGTGTGTGCAGCTCGTCTGGACTGTGTGTGTCTGTGTGTTTGTTCTGTGTGTGTGTGTGTGTGTGTGTGTGTGTCTGTTCTGTGTGTGTCTGTGTGTGTGTGTGTGTGTGTCTGTGTGTGTGTGTGTGTGTGTCTGTGTGTGCAGCTCGTCTGGACTGTGTGTGTCTGTGTGTTTGTTCTGTGTGTGTGTGTGTGTGTGTCTGTTCTGTGTGTGTCTGTGTGTGTGTGTGTGTGTGTCTGTGTGTGCAGCTCGTCTGGACTGTGTGTGTCTGTGTGTTTGTTCTGTGTGTGTGTGTGTGTGTGTGTCTGTTCTGTGTGTGTGTGTGTGTGCAGCTCGTCTGGACTGTGTGTGTGTGTTCTGTGTCTGTGTGTGTGTGTGTCTGTTCTGTGTGTGTGTGTGTGTGTGTGTGTGTGCGCAGCTCGTCTGGACTGTGTGTGTCTGTGTGTGTGTGTCTGTGTGTGTGTCTGTGTCTGTGTGTGTGTCTATTCTGTGTGTATGTGTGTGTGTGTGTGTGTGTGTGAGTGTGTGTGTGCAGCTCGTCTGGACTGTGTGTGTGTGTGTCTGTGTGTTTGTGTGTCTATTCTGTGTGTGTGTGTGTCTGTGTGTGTTTCTGTCTGTTCTGTGTGTGTGCGTGTGTGTGCGTGTGTGTGTGTCTACTCTGAGGGGTCTGAGAGCAGACACACTCAGACCCCTCAGAAAAGAGAAGATTCTTCAACAATAAAAAATTAGAAAAATAAAACATATTGTCCTAGTCTCAGATTTAAACTTCATTTGTAGATTTTATTATTATTCATTTTTTCTCTCAGCCAATCAGCTCTCAGCCAATCAGCTCTCAGCCAATCAGCTCTCAGCCCAGAGAGTCCAACAGTGACTCACAAGGACCTTTCTTGCACAGAAGACACATTTAAATATTTAAGTTTATGTTTTTTAAAGTGAGGTTTAAGTTTATTTTGTCTGAGAAAAACATTTGTCTAATGGACGAGAAACACGTCCAGATTTTTGGAGAACTGAGGTGAGCGTCAGTGACTGAATAAAACATAATGAATGAATTAAATCAATAAACGGATTATCATAGAATAAAAATATATGAGACGTTTGTGGGAAGTCCAGCTGTGGTATGGAAAGCGTCCTGTAACTAAAGGTTAAGACGTATTTTCTCTCTTGTAATGAGGAGTACATTAAATACCATCAAATGTGAATTATTTGATTCAAACAGTTTTCCTCATTTTAACCCTTTCTTGCTGCACAGTTTTATCACAATCCAATGAAAGAACGTTGTTGATGATTTAAAGCTGAGATTGTAACTTTAGCTTTGTCACAGAAAGAGTTTGTAAAAGGTCAAATATTATGAACTATCTATTTCTGTCTGAAAAAGGTGGATCTAAAGAAGTGACAAACCAGAAACACATGGAACCAGTGACAGAAGCGACTGTTATGGGTTTGGTTTGAAAGTTACAGACCCCAGCTTTAAATGGTGTTCTGTGTTTCATGTGTTAAAAAGAGAAAAAGAGTTGTTTACCTTTGTCCTGATGAGTCCTGGATCAATGCATCAGCTGCTGCTCTGGGCTTTATCTGCTCTGACTCCTCTGAGGCTGACCCCGCCCCCTCTAATGCTGAGCCCGCCCCCTCTGAGGCTGACCCCGCCCCCTCTAATGCTGAGCCCGCCCCCTCTGAGGATGACCCCGCCCCCTCTAATGCTGAGCCCGCCCCCTCTAATGCTGAGCCCGCCGCCTCTGAGAATGACCCCGCCCCCTCTGAGGCTGGCCCCGCCTCCTCCTCGTTAGTTGATAATGCTGTTTCAACCACAGTTGAACCTGATGAAATCTCACACAACAAAGAGACAAAGTTAATCTTTTACTTGTTACATTGTACAAGGAGAATGTCTTGACAGAGGCAAGGCACAGACCCTAGCCTCTCTCAGGACAAGTCTGAAGATTCACAGTCTGCAAGCCCCTTTTGGTAGAACAACACACCTTCGTATGCAGATGGGAAAGGAAGAAACCAACACAACAAAAGACACTTAACATATGAGCTCCCCAGACCTCCCGGTGTCTTCCTGAAGCTAAAGTGAATTATGATACAGAGCATTCAGCACATAGCCACATATGATTTACCAAAATGATAACTTAAGCTACATTCCAATATCATTATTCCAGCTCTCTGTAAACGAGATCAAACGGTCTCAGGTGACAGTGTGGAGTCCGGGGCTGGTCCCAGGACTGAGGCTATAGACCCAGGACTGAGGCTGTAGACCCAGGACTGAGGCTGTAGACCCAGGACTGAGGCTGTAGACCCAGGACTGAGACTGTAGACCCAGGACTGAGGCTGTAGACCCAGGACTGAGGCTGTAGACCCAGGACTGAGGCTGTAGACCCAGGACTGAGACTGTAGATCCAGGACTGAGGCTGTAGACCCAGGACTGAGGCTGTAGACCCAGGACTGAGGCTGTAGACCCAGGACTGAGACTGTAGATCCAGGACTGAGGCTGTAGACCCAGGACTGAGGCTGTAGACCCAGGACTGAGACTGTAGACCCAGGACTGAGGCTGTAGACCCAGGACTGAGGCTGTAGATCCAGGACTGAGACTGTAGACCCAGGACTGAGGCTGTAGATCCAGGACTGAGGCTGTAGACCCAGGACTGAGGCTGTAGACCCAGGACTGAGACTGTAGACCCAGGACTGAGACTGTAGATCCAGGACTGAGGCTGTAGATCCAGGACTGAGGCTGTAGACCCAGGACTGAGGCTGTAGACCCAGGACTGAGACTGTAGATCCAGGACTGAGGCTGTAGACCCAGGACTGAGGCTGTAGACCCAGGACTGAGACTGTAGACCCAGGACTGAGGCTGTAGACCCAGGACTGAGGCTGTAGACCCAGGACTGAGGCTGTAGATCCAGGACTGAGACTGAAGACCCAGGACTGAGGCTGTAGATCCAGGACTGAGGCTGTAGACCCAGGACTGAGGCTGTAGACCCAGGACTGAGACTGTAGACCCAGGACTGAGACTGTAGATCCAGGACTGAGGCTGTAGATCCAGGACTGAGGCTGTAGACCCAGGACTGAGGCTGTAGACCCAGGACTGAGGCTGTAGATCCAGGACTGAGACTGTAGACCCAGGACTGAGGCTGTAGACCCAGGACTGAGGCTGTAGACCCAGGACTGAGGCTGTAGATCCAGGACTGAGACTGTAGACCCAGGACTGAGGCTGTAGACCCAGGACTGAGGCTGTAGACCCAGGACTGAGGCTGTAGACCCAGGACTGAGGCTGTAGATCCAGGACTGAGACTGTAGACCCAGGACTGAGGCTGTAGACCCAGGACTGAGGCTGTAGACCCAGGACTGAGGCTGTAGACCCAGGACTGAGGCTGTAGACCCAGGACTGAGACTGATCTATAGATCCTTTGCACTATTATGTTGTTTGTGATTATAGTGCAAAAAGGTCCTGGGTTCCATTCTACCTCCAGGACTTTGAGTGGAGTTTGCATGTTCTCCCTGTGTCTGCGCAGGTTTCCTCTGGGTGCTCCGGTTTCCCCTAACACTAAAGCATGGCTGGATGAGTGTATTTATTGTGTTCATTCACACACACTGAGTCAAACCAACACTTACAAATACAACTAGTTTATTTACTGCATTAGATTTTAACCCATTTCTGTTGTTGTTTTCCTTTAGAATGATAATGTGTGTGATCTTGAGACTTGGAGGTTTCTCTCAGGTCAAAGACACACACCCATATGTCGGAATTTGAATCACACAAAAGCTCAGAGCTCGGAGAAAGGAATAGAATAGAATAGAATAGAATAGAATAGAATAGAATAGAATAGAATGGAGAATATCATTACAGCTCTCTCTGTTTGTCCTGGTTACCAACGACAACGGCAGGAACAACACATGGTTTTACACTGGTCCAGACCAGAGCAAAGAGGATTCATGGTTTTACACTGGTCCAGACCAGAGCAGAGAGGATTCAGAGATGGTGCTTGCCTTATGGGCCCTAAGCAGAAGTCAGTATTGGGGCCCTAAGCAGAAGTCAGTATTGGGGCCCTAAGCAGAAGTCAGTATTGGGGGCCTAAGCAGAAGTCAGTATTGGGGCCCTAAGCAGAAGTCAGTATTGGGGCCCTAAGCAGAAGTCAGTATTGGGGTCCTAAGCAGAAGTCAGTATTGGGGCTCTAAGGAGAAGTCAGTATTGGGGTCCTAAGCAGAAGTCAGTATTGGGGCCCTAAGCAGTAGTCAGTATTGGGGCCCTAAGTAGAAGACAGTATTGGGGCCCTAAGCAGAAGTCAGTATTGGGACCCTAAGCAGAAGTAAGTATTGGGGCCCTAAGCAGTAGTCAGTATTGGGCCCCTAAGCAGTAGTTAGTATTGGGGCCCTAAGTAGAAGACAGTATTGGGGCCCTAATCAGAAGTCAGTATTGGGGGCCTAAGCAGAAGTCAGTATTGGGGCCCTAAGTAGAAGACAGTATTGGGGCCCTAAGCAGTAGTCAGTATTGGGCCCCTAAGCAGTAGTCAGTATTGGGGCCCTAGGTAGAAGACAGTATTGGGGCCCTAATCAGAAGTCAGTATTGGGGGCCTAAGCAGAAGTCAGTTTTGGTGCCCTAAGTAGAAGACAGTATTGGGGCCCTAAGCAGAAGTCAGTATTGGGGCCCTAAGCAGAAGTCAGTATTGGGGCCCTAAGCAGTAGTCAGTATTGGGGCCCTAAGTAGAAGACAGTATTGGGGCCCTAAGCAGAAGTCAGTATTGGGGCCCTAAGCAGTAGTCAGTATTGGGGCCCTAAGTAGAAGACAGTATTGGGGCCCTAAGCAGAAGTCAGTATTGGGGCCCTAAGCAGAAGTCAGTATTGGGGCCCTAAGCAGAAGTCAGTATCGGGGCCCTAAGCAGAAGTCAGTATTGGGGGCCGAAGCAGAAGTCAGTATTGGGGCCCTAAGCAGAAGTCAGTATTGGGGCCCTAAGCAGAAGTCAGTATTGGGGCTCTAAGCAGAAGTCAGTATTGGGGGCCTAAGCAGAAGTCAGTATTGGGGCCCTAAGCAGTAGTCAGTATTGGGGCCCTAAGCAGAAGTCAGTATTGGGACCCTAAGCAGAAGTAAGTATTGGGGCCCTAAGCAGTAGTCAGTATTGGGCCCCTAAGCAGTAGTCAGTATTGGGGCCCTAAGTAGAAGACAGTATTGGGGCCCTAATCAGAAGTCAGTATTGGGGGCCTAAGCAGAAGTCAGTATTGGATTGGGGCCCTAAGTAGAAGACAGTATTGGGGCCCTAAGCAGTAGTCAGTTTTGGTGCCCTAAGTAGAAGACAGTATTGGGGCCCTTAGCAGAAGTCAGTATTGGGGCCCTAAGCAGAAGTCAGTATTGGGGCCCTAAGCAGTAGTCAGTATTGGGGCCCTAAGTAGAAGACAGTATTGGGGCCCTAAGCAGAAGTCAGTATTGGGACCCTAAGCAGAAGTCAGTATTGGGACCCTAAGCAGAAGTCAGTATTGGGGCCCTAAGCAGTAGTCAGTATTGGGGCCCTAAGTAGAAGACAGTATTGGGGCCCTAAGCAGAAGTCAGTATTGGGGCCCTAAGCAGAAGTCAGTATTGGGGCCCTAAGCAGAAGTCAGTATCTGGGCCCTAAGCAGAAGTCAGTATTGGGGGCCTAAGCAGAAGTCAGTATTGGGGCCCTAAGCAGAAGTCAGTATTGGGGCCCTAAGCAGTAGTCAGTATTGGGGCCCTAAGTAGAAGACAGTATTGGGGCCCTAAGCAGAAGTCCGTATTGGGACCCTAAGCAGAAGTCAGTATTGGGACCCTAAGCAGAAGTCAGTATTGGGGCCCTAAGCAGTAGTCAGTATTGGGACCCTAAGCAGAAGTCAGTATTGGGACCCTAAGCAGAAGTCAGTATTGGGGCCCTAAGCAGTAGTCAGTATTGGGGCCCTAAGTAGAAGACAGTATTGGGGCCCTAAGCAGAAGTCAGTATTGGGGCCCTAAGCAGAAGTCAGTATTGGGGCCCTAAGCAGAAGTCAGTATCGGGGCCCTAAGCAGAAGTCAGTATTGGTGACCTAAGCAGAAGTCAGTATTGGGGCCCTAAGCAGTAGTCAGTATTGGGGCCCTAAGTAGAAGACAGTATTGGGGCCCTAAGCAGAAGTCAGTATTGGGACCCTAAGCAGAAGTCAGTATTGGGGCCCTAAGCAGTAGTCAGTATTGGGGCCCTAAGTAGAAGACAGTATTGGGGCCCTAAGCAGAAGTCAGTATTGGGGGCCTAAGCAGAAGTCAGTATTGGGGGCCTAAGCAGAAGTCAGTATTGGGGCCCTAAGCAGAAGTCAGTATTGGGGCCCTAAGCAGAAGTCAGTATTGGGGTCCTAAGCAGAAGTCAGTATTGGGGCCCTAAGCAGAAGACAGTATTGGGGCCCTAAGCAGAAGTCAGTATTGGGGCCCTAAGCAGAAGTCAGTATTGGGGTCCTAAGCAGAAGTCAGTATTGGGGCTCTAAGCAGAAGTCAGTATTGGGGTCCTAAGCAGAAGTCAGTATTGGGGCCCTAAGCAGAAGTCAGTATTGGGGCCCTAAGCAGAAGTCAGTATTGGGGCCCTAAGCAGAAGTCAGTATTGGGGCCCTAAGCAGAAGTCAGTATTGGGGCCCTAAGCAGAAGTTAGTATTGGGGCCCTAAGCAGAAGTCAGTATCGGGGCCCTAAGCAGAAGTCAGTATTGGGGGCCTAAGCAGAAGTCAGTATTGGGGCCCTAAGCAGAAGTCAGTGTTGGGGTCCTAAGCAGAAGTCAGTATTGGGGCTCTAAGCAGAAGTCAGTATTGGGGTCCTAAGCAGAAGTCAGTATTGGGGGCCTAAGCAGAAGTCAGTATTGGGGCCCTAAGCAGAAGTCAGTATTGGGGCCCTAAGCAGAAGTCAGTATTGGGGTCCTAAGCAGAAGTCAGTATTGGGGCCCTAAGCAGAAGACAGTATTGGGGCCCTAAGCAGAAGTCAGTATTGGGGCCCTAAGCAGAAGTCAGTATTGGGGTCCTAAGCAGAAGTCAGTATTGGGGCTCTAAGCAGAAGTCAGTATTGGGGTCCTAAGCAGAAGTCAGTATTGGGGCCCTAAGCAGAAGTCAGTATTGGGGCCCTAAGCAGAAGTCAGTATTGGGGCCCTAAGCAGAAGTCAGTATTGGGGCCCTAAGCAGAAGTCAGTATTGGGGCCCTAAGCAGAAGTTAGTATTGGGGCCCTAAGCAGAAGTCAGTATCGGGGCCCTAAGCAGAAGTCAGTATTGGGGGCCTAAGCAGAAGTCAGTATTGGGGCCCTAAGCAGAAGTCAGTGTTGGGGTCCTAAGCAGAAGTCAGTATTGGGGCTCTAAGCAGAAGTCAGTATTGGGGTCCTAAGCAGAAGTCAGTATTGGGGGCCTAAGCAGAAGTCAGTATTGGGGCCCTAAGCAGAAGTCAGTATTGGGGCCCTAAGCAGAAGTCAGTGTTGGGGTCCTAAGCAGAAGTCAGTATTGGGGCTCTAAGCAGAAGTCAGTATTGGGGTCCTAAGCAGAAGTCAGTATTGGGGGCCTAAGCAGAAGTCAGTATTGGGGTCCTAAGCAGAAGTCAGTATTGGGGCCCTAAGTAGAAGACAGTATCGGAGCCCTAAGCAGAAGTCAGTATTGGGGTCCTAAGCAGAAGTCAGTATTGGGGCCCTAAGTAGAAGACAGTATCGGAGCCCTAAGCAGAAGTCAGTATTGGGGCCCTAAGCAGAGTGCGTGAGCCAACTTCTTGTTATCTTTCCACTGTTTGAAAGCTTCCTGAATGAAATCCTCTGTGGAACTTGTCTTTTGGATGTGGGGAAATCGTGGCTTGGTTTGAAGGGGCCCCTGCGCACCAACCAATTGTTTTATTATGAGTGAGGTTTGGAGGCCAATCTGATGGGTCTTCTGGTGCAACACTGATGTCTAATGAAGTCTGATGTACCATGCTCTGATGATGACAACACATTTACACCTGAGGAAGCAGCAGCCTGGTCTTCCTCAGCCTGGTCTTCCTCAGCCTGGTCTTCCTCAGCCTGGTCTTCCTCAGCCTGGTCTCCCTCAGCCTGGTCTTCCTCAGCCTGGTCTTCCTCAGCTTGGTCTTCCTCAGCCTGGTCTCCCTCAGCCTGGTCTACTTCAGGCTGGTCTACATCAGCCTGGTCTTCCTCAGCCTGGTCTTCCTCAGCCTGGTCTTCCTCAGCCTGGTCTTCCTCAGCTTGGTCTTCCTCAGCCTGGTCTACTTCAGCCTGGTCTACTTCAGCCTGGTCTTCCTCACCCTGGTCTTCCTCAGCCTGGTCTCCCTCAGCCTGGTCTTCCTCAGCCTGGTCTCCCTCAGCCTGGTTTTCCTCAGCCTGGTCTTCCTCAGCCTGGTCTTCCTCAGCCTGGTCTCCTCAGCCTGGTCTCCTCAGCCTGGTCTACCTCAGCCTGGTCTTCCTCAGCCTGGTCCACTTCAGCCTGGTCTTCCTCAGCCTGGTCTTCCTCAGCCTGGTCTCCCTCAACCTGGTCTTCCTCAGCCTGGTCTTCCTCAGCTTGGTCTTCCTCAGCCTGGTCTTCCTTAGCTTGGTCTTCCTCAGCCTGGTCTTCCTCAGCCTGGTCTCCCTCAACCTGGTCTTCCTCAGCCTGGTCTCCCTCAGCCTGGTCTTCCTCAGCCTGGTCTTCCTCAGCCTGGTCTCCTCAGCCTGGTCTCCTCAGCCTGGTCTACCTCAGCCTGGTCTTCCTCAGCCTGGTCCACTTCAGCCTGGTCTTCCTCAGCCTGGTCTGCCTCAACCTGGTCTTCCTCAGCTTGGTCTTCCTCAGCCAGGTCATCCTCAGTCTGGTCTTCCTCACCCTGGTCTTCCTCAGCCAGGTCTCCCTCAGCCTGGTCTCTCTCAGCCTGGTCTTCCTCAGCCAGGTCTTCCTCAGCCTGGTCTTCCTCAGCCTGGTCTTCCCCAGCCTGGTCTTCCTCAGCCTGGTCTTCCTCAGCCTGGTCTTCCTCAGCCAGGTCTTCCTCAGCCTGGTCTTCCTCAGCCTGGTCTCCCTCAGCCTCTCCTTCACTCTGCTCTGAGGTTGTTTCTGGAGGAAGCGCTGGCTCAGACCTGCCTGGCTCAGACCTGCCTGGCTCAGACCTGCCTGGCTCAGACCTGCCTGGCTCAGACCTGCCTGGATCAGCAGAGACTTATTAAGGCACTTCAGCACAGCTCCTGTAAAAACATAGATATTCTAAATAACTACATGCCATTACCTGTCCTTTGATGAAGTAAAAGTTAGTAATTAACGCATTCATTACAGAAGATTTTGTTATTGTACGATGAGATCATCTCTTTTTCTCATGACCCGAGGGATAACTGGTTCTGGGGCTCTGCCTGCTGTGGCTTCAGTCAGAACACATGAAACATGGTTCTTTTAGCGGCTCTTGGCTTCTCAGAAAGAAGGTCCTGGGTTTTAATCCCGGTCGCAACAGAGCCTTTCTGAGTGGAGTTTGCATGTTCTCCCCGTGTCTGCGTAGGACTGAATGTAAGGAGTGATTGAGTGGTGTTTGGTCAGAGGCTTTGACGGTCCAGTGTGTTCAGTGTCAGGAGAGAATGGAAAAACAGCTGAACTCTTTGGGTGACCTTGGTCTGTAACAATGCTGAGAGCCACACTGAGACCTAATGAGAGCCACACTGAGAGCCACACTGAGACCTGCTGAGAGCCACACTGAGAGCCACACTGAGAGCCACAGTGAGAGCCACACTGAGAGCCACACTGAGAGCCACACTGAGAGCCACAGTGAGAGCCACACTGAGAGCCTCACTGAGACCTGCTGAGAGCCACACTGAGAGCCACACTGAGACCTGCTGAGAGCCACACTGAGCGCCACACAGAGACCTGCTGAGAGCCACACTGAGAGCCACACTGAGAGCCACACTGAGAGCCACACTGAGAGCCACACTGAGAGCCACACTGAGAGCCACAGTGAGAGCCACACTGAGAGCCACACTGAGACCTGCTGAGAGCCACACAGAGACCTGCTGAGAGCCACACTGAGAGCCACACTGAGACCTGCTGAGAGCCACACTGAGAGCCACACTGAGACCTGCTGAGAGCCACACTGAGAGCCACACTGAGACCTGCTGAGAGCCACACTGAGAGCCACACTGAGACCTGCTGAGAGCCACACAGAGACCTGCTGAGAGCCACACTGAGAGCTACACTGAGAGCCACACTGAGAGCCACACTGAGAGCCACACTGAGAGCCACAATGAGAGCCACACTGAGAGCCACACTGAGAGCTACACTGAGAGCCACACTGAGAGCCACACTGAGAGCCACACTGAGAGCCACACAGAGAGCCACACCGAGACCTGCTGAGAGCCACACAGAGAGCCACACTGAGACCTGCTGAGAGCCACACAGAGACCTGCTGAGAGCCACACTGAGACCTGCTGAGAGCCACACTGAGAGCCACACTGAGACCTGCTGAGAGCCACACTGAGAGCCACACTGAGACCTGCTGAGAGCCACACAGAGACCTGCTGAGAGCCACACTGAGAGCTACACTGAGAGCCACACTGAGAGCCACACTGAGAGCCACACTGAGAGCCACAATGAGAGCCACACTGAGAGCCACACTGAGAGCTACACTGAGAGCCACACTGAGAGCCACACTGAGAGCCACACTGAGAGCCACACAGAGAGCCACACCGAGACCTGCTGAGAGCCACACAGAGAGCCACACTGAGACCTGCTGAGAGCCACACAGAGAGCCACACTGAGACCTGCTGAGAGCCACACTGAGAGCCACACTGAGAGCCACACTGAGACCTGCTGAGGGTTTAGTCTGAGTTTATTCATGTGGTGTTGCTGCCCTCTAGTGGTGTGTGTGTGTGTGTGTGTGTGTGTGTGTGTGTGTGTGTGTGTGTGTGTGTGTGTGTGTGTGTGTGTGTGTGTGTGTGTGTGTGTGTGTGTGTGTGAGTGTGAGTGTGAGTGTGAGTGTGAGTGTGTGTGAGTGTGCGTGCACTTGTTTTCAACTCCTGGTGGGTTCCATAACCTGAGATTCCACTCACGTCATGGGGACTGGTTTTACGTGGTGGGGCCCGAACACCGGACCCCACTGGTCCAAGCTTAATAATCAATGGGTAATGCTTTTCTAACGGTCCTTATGCAGTCTCTGTAAAAATATGGAAAGGACCCCTGGAGGTTTACTTTCCTGAAAAAAGTGTGTTATGTGTCGGAACCCTGGTGGTGGGTTGCGGGATATCAAGGAGGGGCACACTGGGGCAATTTCAGTCCAGCAGGCTGGAGCCAATCATGGAGCAGCACAACAGAGGAAATCAGGTGAAAAGGTGCAAGTGTGTGGTTCATTAGGCTGCAGCCAATCACAGAGCAGCACACTGAAGCGCACGCTTACAAACCACTGGTAAGTGCTGACTACAAGTCATGACTTCAAATTGTTATATAGAATGATTACAAATTATTTGTTGTTTGTGCAGCTTAGTCAAGAGTCCCTAATTGATGAAGTCGACTCAGATTCTGACGATTTAACTGTCAAGAAGAAACCTGTAAAAAAGTATGGAAAAAGAAAAATCAAAAACACTTTTCTTCAAGACTCGGAAAGTGACGAACCAAAGGCAAATAAGATTGTTATCATGCAGCTGCAAAAGAAGAAGAAAAATGGGGGGCGAGTATATACAGCAAGAGACACTTCTGCCTCTACTGTTCAATGTCCTGCCACAAAATGTCCCGTCATTTGACTAGAAAACATGGAAATGAAAGTGACGTAGCCAGAGCATTGGCTCTACCTGTGAAATCTAAAGCACGTAAACTTCAGTTTGATTTGATCAGGAATAGTGGAAACCGTGAGCACAATTTTGAGGTTTTAAAGGCCGGCATTGGAACTTTAGTCCCAGCTAAACAGCCAAATTCCCCAGTTAAATCCAGTGAGTTTTTGCACTGTATAGACTGTGGGGCATTGCTTAAGCGAAAGTCGCTGTGGAGGCATGTGGCCAGGTGCCGGCTTTCACAGAAAGATGCCCAGGCTAAACCAGGTAGAAGTAGGGTCCAGTCCCTCTGCTCCCTAGCCCAGCCTGTACCGGAGGGCATCAGCAAAAAGCTGTGGTCTTTAATTTCGGCAATGCATCAGGATGAGGTCACGGGTGTTGTCAAAGCAGAAAAGGGGATTCTGAGACTCGGAGAGCACCTGTACTTAAAACACGGGCATGATAAGACAAAGCATGATTACATTAGGCAGAAAATGAGAGAAGTCGGTAGGTTAATTAACGAAGCAAAAACCGCAGGGAAACTGAAAACAATTAAGGATTTCTTTATTCCTTCCAACTTTAACCATGTGATTGATGCAGTCAGGTCTGTGGCTGGATATGATGAGGAAACAAATCAATACAAGACTCCATCCTTGGCCCTCAAACTCGGCCATAGCCTCAGAAAGCTAGCAGATATTCTTGAATGTGACTCAAAAATGGAGCATTGTGTTGATGAACTATTTATTAAAAACCTCCAACGAAGCCGGCTGCTTTTTGAGAAGAGGTGGGACGTCTGTGTTTCTTCTGCTGCCCTACAGACCCTCCGGCAAGCCAAGTGGAACACTCCGGACCTGCTCCCTCTGACTGAGGACGTTAGAGCCATGCATGCACATATTGAGGTATGTCGACCTGAATATGTGCAAACCCTAATAAGTGAGCCAACGTCTAAGCATTGGTCTAAACTGGCAGTTTTGACTCTTTGTGAGGTCATCATTTTCAATCGAAGAAGGGAAGGTGAGGTTTCAAAGATGCCACTGACAGCCTTTACCTTAAGAAGTAAGACTGGGATCCATTCTGACATTGCTCTGGGACTGTCCCAACTTGAGAAAAAGCTGTGTCAGCATTTTCAACGCATTGAAATTAAAGGGAAAAGAAGTCGGAAAGTGCCGGTTCTTTTGACTCCTGAAATGATTGCTTCGATGGAGGTGCTGGTGGAGAACAGAAGGGCCTGTTCCATCTCTGACCATAACCCATACTTCTTTTCCCGCCCGGGCGCAGACACCCACATCAGGGGATCAGACTCCCTACGCCAGGTAGCCAAAGAATGTGGTGCGGTGCATCCAGAGATGCTATCCTCAACCAAACTTAGAAAGCACATAGCTACTATGTCTACAGTTCTCAATATGAAAGAGAATGAGATGGACATACTTGCCAACTTCCTCGGCCATGACATTCGCATCCACAGGCAATATTACAGACTACCAGAGGGGACACTGGAGCTGGCCAAAATCAGCAAAGTGTTGATGGCCATGGAGCAGGGAAGAGTGACGGAATTCGAAGGAAAGAGCCTCGACCAGATACAAATTGAGCCTGAAGGTAATTCTTGATATTATTAAAATATGTATGATTTTTTTCCCCTAAAGGCCACTTGTATTTTTATTTTCTGTGCGACAGGGAGAGCAGTAGAGATCCTCTCACAAACGGACGGGCTAAAAGAAACTTCAAGCGGAGAACCTTCAACCATTCATCCAGATGCACCCCATGGTAGTGGCAGTGCCCCTTCTGGTAAGTGTACCAGGTGGGGGATTACAGCCAGGCTGCTTGGTCCTCACCCTGGGAGTGTATATTGCTAATATATTTTTATTTCTCTCCCTAGAACGTGTAAGAAAGCCATGGTCTGCATCTGAGGTGAAGGCTGTGGAGAAGACCATGACACCTTTCATACAGACTGGAAAGGTCCCTGGGAAGTCTCACTGCCTGGCCTGCATTAATGCCTCACCAGATGACCTTAGACATCGGACATGGAGTGGCATTAAATTCTATGTCAAAAATAGAATCACTGCAATTCGAAAACAAAATCTAAAATAAAATTCCTTTAAAATAGTTGTTTGGTTTCTATTGACTGTTTTGTATTACTTAAAGTCTTGGTAAAAAAAGATTATGTCTATGGGTCCCATTCTGAACGGCCCTGTCAAAGGGACCCACCAGGTAACAAAAACGTGTATGTGTGTGTGTGTGTGTGTGTGAGTGTGTGTGAGTGTGCGTGTGTGCGCGTTTGTATGTTTGTGTGAGTGTATGTGTGCACGAGGGTGTCTCTGTGTAATGAGGAGAGTTTTTGTAGTGAGCAGACAGAGTTGTGTAGTGAGCAGACAGAGTTGTGTAGTGAGCAGACAGAGTTGTGTAGTGAGCAGACAGATTTGTGTAGTGAAGAGACAGAGTTGTGTAGTGACCAGACAGAGTTGTGTAGTGACCAGACAGAGTTGTGTAGTGAGGAGACTGAGTTGTGTAGTGAGGAGACTGAGTTGTGTAGTGAGGAGACTGAGTTGTGTAGTGAGGAGACTGAGTTGTGTAGTGAGGAGACTGAGTTGTGTAGTGAGGAGACTGAGTTGTGTAGTGAGCAGACAGAGTTGTGTAGTGAAGAGACAGAGTTGTGTAGTGAAGAGACAGGGTTGTGTAGTGACCAGACAGAGTTGTGTAGTGACCAGACAGAGTTGTGTAGTGAGCAGACAGAGTTGTGTAGTGAGGAGACTGAGTTGTGTAGTGAGGACACTGAGTTGTGTAGTGAGGAGACTGAGTTGTGTAGTGAGGAGACTGAGTTGTGTAGTGAGGAGACTGAGTTGTGTAGTGAGCAGACAGAGTTGTGTAGTGAAGAGACAGAGTTGTGTAGTGAAGAGACAGAGTTGTGTAGTGAGGAGACTGAGTTGTGTAGTGAGGAGACTGAGTTGTGTAGTGAAGAGACAGAGTTGTGTAGTGAAGAGATAGAGTTGTGTAGTGAAGAGACAGAGTTGTGTAGTGAAGAGATAGAGTTGTGTAGTGAAGAGACAGAGTTGTGTAGTGAAGAGACAGAGTTGTGTAGTGAAGAGACAGAGTTGTGTAGTGAGCAGAGTTGTGTAGTGAAGAGACAGAGTTGTGTAGTGAAGAGACAGAGTTGTGTAGTGAGCAGACAGAGTTGTGTAGTGAAGAGACAGAGTTGTGTAGTGAAGAGACAGAGTTGTGTAGTGACCAGACAGAGTTGTGTAGTGACCAGACAGAGTTGTGTAGTGAGCAGACAGAGTTGTGTAGTGAGGAGACTGAGTTGTGTAGTGAGGAGACTGAGTTGTGTAGTGAGGAGACTGAGTTGTGTAGTGAGGAGACTGAGTTGTGTAGTGAGCAGACAGAGTTGTGTAGTGAAGAGACAGAGTTGTGTAGTGAAGAGACAGAGTTGTGTAGTGAAGAGATAGAGTTGTGTAGTGAGCAGAGTTGTGTAGTGAAGAGACAGAGTTGTGTAGTGAAGAGACAGAGTTGTGTAGTGAGCAGACAGAGTTGTGTAGTGAAGAGACAGAGTTGTGTAGTGAAGAGACAGAGTTGTGTAGTGACCAGACAGAGTTGTGTAGTGACCAGACAGAGTTGTGTAGTGAGGAGACTGAGTTGTGTAGTGAAGAGACAGAGTTGTGTAGTGAGGAGACTGAGTTGTGTAGTGAGGAGACTGAGTTGTGTAGTGAAGAGACAGAGTTGTGTAGTGAAGAGATAGAGTTGTGTAGTGAAGAGACAGAGTTGTGTAGTGAAGAGATAGAGTTGTGTAGTGAAGAGACAGAGTTGTGTAGTGAAGAGACAGAGTTGTGTAGTGAAGAGACAGAGTTGTGTAGTGAAGAGACAGAGTTGTGTAGTGAAGAGACAGAGTTGTGTAGTGAGCAGACAGAGTTGTGTAGTGAAGAGACAGAGTTGTGTAGTGAAGAGACAGAGTTGTGTAGTGACCAGACAGAGTTGTGTAGTGACCAGACAGAGTTGTGTAGTGAGGAGACTGAGTTGTGTAGTGAAGAGACAGAGTTGTGTAGTGAGGAGACTGAGTTGTGTAGTGAGGAGACTGAGTTGTGTAGTGAAGAGACAGAGTTGTGTAGTGAAGAGATAGAGTTGTGTAGTGAAGAGACAGAGTTGTGTAGTGAAGAGATAGAGTTGTGTAGTGAAGAGACAGAGTTGTGTAGTGAAGAGACAGAGTTGTGTAGTGAAGAGACAGAGTTGTGTAGTGAAGAGACAGAGTTGTGTAGTGAAGAGACAGAGTTGTGTAGTGAGCAGACAGAGTTGTGTAGTGAGCAGACAGAGTTGTGTAGTGAAGAGACAGAGTTGTGTAGTGAAGAGACAGAGTTGTGTAGTGACCAGACAGAGTTGTGTAGTGAAGAGACAGAGTTGTGTAGTGAGCAAACAGAGTTGTGTAGTGAGCAGACAGAGTTGTGTAGTGAGGAGACTGAGTTGTGTAGTGACCAGACAGAGTTGTGTAGTGACCAGACAGAGTTGTGTAGTGAAGAGACAGAGTTGTGTAGTGAAGAGACAGAGTTGTGTAGTGAAGAGACAGAGTTGTGTAGTGACCAGACAGAGTTGTGTAGTGACCAGACAGAGTTGTGTAGTGAAGAGACAGAGTTGTGTAGTGAAGAGACAGAGTTGTGTAGTGAAGAGACAGAGTTGTGTAGTGAGCAGAGTTGTGTAGTGAAGAGACAGAGTTGTGTAGTGAAGAGACAGAGTTGTGTAGTGAGCAGACAGAGTTGTGTAGTGAGCAGACAGAGTTGTGTAGTGAGCAGACAGATTTGTGTAGTGAAGAGACAGAGTTGTGTAGTGACCAGACAGAGTTGTGTAGTGACCAGACAGAGTTGTGTAGTGAGGAGACTGAGTTGTGTAGTGAGGAGACTGAGTTGTGTAGTGAAGAGACAGAGTTGTGTAGTGAAGAGATAGAGTTGTGTAGTGAAGAGACAGAGTTGTGTAGTGAAGAGATAGAGTTGTGTAGTGAAGAGACAGAGTTGTGTAGTGAAGAGACAGAGTTGTGTAGTGAAGAGACAGAGTTGTGTAGTGAAGAGACAGAGTTGTGTAGTGAAGAGACAGAGTTGTGTAGTGAAGAGACAGAGTTGTGTAGTGAGCAGACAGAGTTGTGTAGTGAAGAGACAGAGTTGTGTAGTGAAGAGACAGAGTTGTGTAGTGACCAGACAGAGTTGTGTAGTGACCAGACAGAGTTGTGTAGTGAGGAGACTGAGTTGTGTAGTGAAGAGACAGAGTTGTGTAGTGAGGAGACTGAGTTGTGTAGTGAGGAGACTGAGTTGTGTAGTGAAGAGACAGAGTTGTGTAGTGAAGAGATAGAGTTGTGTAGTGAAGAGACAGAGTTGTGTAGTGAAGAGATAGAGTTGTGTAGTGAAGAGACAGAGTTGTGTAGTGAAGAGACAGAGTTGTGTAGTGAAGAGACAGAGTTGTGTAGTGAAGAGACAGAGTTGTGTAGTGAAGAGACAGAGTTGTGTAGTGAGCAGACAGAGTTGTGTAGTGAGCAGACAGAGTTGTGTAGTGAAGAGACAGAGTTGTGTAGTGAAGAGACAGAGTTGTGTAGTGACCAGACAGAGTTGTGTAGTGAAGAGACAGAGTTGTGTAGTGAGCAAACAGAGTTGTGTAGTGAGCAGACAGAGTTGTGTAGTGAGGAGACTGAGTTGTGTAGTGACCAGACAGAGTTGTGTAGTGACCAGACAGAGTTGTGTAGTGAAGAGACAGAGTTGTGTAGTGAAGAGACAGAGTTGTGTAGTGAAGAGACAGAGTTGTGTAGTGACCAGACAGAGTTGTGTAGTGACCAGACAGAGTTGTGTAGTGAAGAGACAGAGTTGTGTAGTGAAGAGACAGAGTTGTGTAGTGAAGAGACAGAGTTGTGTAGTGAGCAGAGTTGTGTAGTGAAGAGACAGAGTTGTGTAGTGAAGAGACAGAGTTGTGTAGTGAGCAGACAGAGTTGTGTAGTGAGCAGACAGAGTTGTGTAGTGAGCAGACAGATTTGTGTAGTGAAGAGACAGAGTTGTGTAGTGACCAGACAGAGTTGTGTAGTGACCAGACAGAGTTGTGTAGTGAGGAGACTGAGTTGTGTAGTGAAGAGACAGAGTTGTGTAGTGAGGAGACTGAGTTGTGTAGTGACCAGACAGAGTTGTGTAGTGAGCAGACAGAGTTGTGTAGTGAAGAGACAGAGTTGTGTAGTGAGGAGACAGAGTTGTGTAGTGGAGAGACAGGGTTGTGTAGTGACCAGACAGAGTTGTGTAGTGAGGAGACAGAGTTGTGTAGTGAAGAGACAGGGTTGTGTAGTGACCAGACAGAGTTGTGTAGTGACCAGACAGAGTTGTGTAGTGAGCAGACAGAGTTGTGTAGTGAGGAGACTGAGTTGTGTAGTGAGGAGACTGAGTTGTGTAGTGAGGAGACTGAGTTGTGTAGTGAGGAGACTGAGTTGTGTAGTGAGCAGACAGAGTTGTGTAGTGAAGAGACAGAGTTGTGTAGTGAAGAGACAGAGTTGTGTAGTGAACAGATAGAGTTGTGTAGTGAAGAGACAGAGTTGTGTAGTGAGCAGAGTTGTGTAGTGAAGAGACAGAGTTGTGTAGTGAAGAGACAGAGTTGTGTAGTGAGCAGACAGAGTTGTGTAGTGAAGAGACAGAGTTGTGTAGTTACCAGACAGAGTTGTGTAGTGACCAGACAGAGTTGTGTAGTGAGGAGACTGAGTTGTGTAGTGAAGAGACAGAGTTGTGTAGTGAGGAGACTGAGTTGTGTAGTGAGGAGACTGAGTTGTGTAGTGAAGAGACAGAGTTGTGTAGTGAAGAGATAGAGTTGTGTAGTGAAGAGACAGAGTTGTGTAGTGAAGAGATAGAGTTGTGTAGTGAAGAGACAGAGTTGTGTAGTGAAGAGACAGAGTTGTGTAGTGAAGAGACAGAGTTGTGTAGTGAAGAGACAGAGTTGTGTAGTGAAGAGACAGAGTTGTGTAGTGAAGAGACAGAGTTGTGTAGTGAAGAGACAGAGTTGTGTAGTGAGCAGACAGAGTTGTGTAGTGAAGAGACAGAGTTGTGTAGTGAAGAGACAGAGTTGTGTAGTGACCAGACAGAGTTGTGTAGTGAGGAGATTGAGTTGTGTAGTGAAGAGACAGAGTTGTGTAGTGAGGAGACTGAGTTGTGTAGTGAGGAGACTGAGTTGTGTAGTGAAGAGACAGAGTTGTGTAGTGAAGAGATAGAGTTGTGTAGTGAAGAGACAGAGTTGTGTAGTGAAGAGATAGAGTTGTGTAGTGAAGAGACAGAGTTGTGTAGTGAAGAGACAGAGTTGTGTAGTGAAGAGACAGAGTTGTGTAGTGAAGAGACAGAGTTGTGTAGTGAAGAGACAGAGTTGTGTAGTGAGCAGACAGAGTTGTGTAGTGAGCAGACAGAGTTGTGTAGTGAAGAGACAGAGTTGTGTAGTGAAGAGACAGAGTTGTGTAGTGACCAGACAGAGTTGTGTAGTGAAGAGACAGAGTTGTGTAGTGAGCAGACAGAGTTGTGTAGTGAGCAGACAGAGTTGTGTAGTGAGGAGACTGAGTTGTGTAGTGACCAGACAGAGTTGTGTAGTGACCAGACAGAGTTGTGTAGTGAAGAGACAGAGTTGTGTAGTGAAGAGACAGAGTTGTGTAGTGACCAGACAGAGTTGTGTAGTGACCAGACAGAGTTGTGTAGTGAAGAGACAGAGTTGTGTAGTGAAGAGACAGAGTTGTGTAGTGACCAGACAGAGTTGTGTAGTGACCAGACAGAGTTGTGTAGTGAAGAGACAGAGTTGTGTAGTGAAGAGACAGAGTTGTGTAGTGACCAGACAGAGTTGTGTAGTGACCAGACAGAGTTGTGTAGTGAGGAGACTGAGTTGTGTAGTGAAGAGACAGAGTTGTGTAGTGAGGAGACTGAGTTGTGTAGTGAGGAGACTGAGTTGTGTAGTGAGGAGACTGAGTTGTGTAGTGAGGAGACTGAGTTGTGTAGTGAGCAGACAGAGTTGTGTAGTGAAGAGACAGAGTTGTGTAGTGAGGAGACTGAGTTGTGTAGTGAGGAGACTGAGTTGTGTAGTGAACAGATAGAGTTGTGTAGTGAAGAGACAGAGTTGTGTAGTGAGCAGAGTTGTGTAGTGAAGAGACAGAGTTGTGTAGTGAAGAGACAGAGTTGTGTAGTGAGCAGACAGAGTTGTGTAGTGAAGAGACAGAGTTGTGTAGTGAAGAGACAGAGTTGTGTAGTTACCAGACAGAGTTGTGTAGTGACCAGACAGAGTTGTGTAGTGAGGAGACTGAGTTGTGTAGTGAAGAGACAGAGTTGTGTAGTGAGGAGACTGAGTTGTGTAGTGAGGAGACTGAGTTGTGTAGTGAAGAGACAGAGTTGTGTAGTGAAGAGATAGAGTTGTGTAGTGAAGAGACAGAGTTGTGTAGTGAAGAGATAGAGTTGTGTAGTGAAGAGACAGAGTTGTGTAGTGAAGAGACAGAGTTGTGTAGTGAAGAGACAGAGTTGTGTAGTGAAGAGACAGAGTTGTGTAGTGAAGAGACAGAGTTGTGTAGTGAAGAGACAGAGTTGTGTAGTGAAGAGACAGAGTTGTGTAGTGAGCAGACAGAGTTGTGTAGTGAAGAGACAGAGTTGTGTAGTGAAGAGACAGAGTTGTGTAGTGACCAGACAGAGTTGTGTAGTGAGGAGACTGAGTTGTGTAGTGAAGAGACAGAGTTGTGTAGTGAGGAGACTGAGTTGTGTAGTGAGGAGACTGAGTTGTGTAGTGAAGAGACAGAGTTGTGTAGTGAAGAGATAGAGTTGTGTAGTGAAGAGATAGAGTTGTGTAGTGAAGAGACAGAGTTGTGTAGTGAAGAGACAGAGTTGTGTAGTGAAGAGACAGAGTTGTGTAGTGAAGAGACAGAGTTGTGTAGTGAGCAGACAGAGTTGTGTAGTGAGCAGACAGAGTTGTGTAGTGAAGAGACAGAGTTGTGTAGTGAAGAGACAGAGGTTGTGTAGTGACCAGACAGAGTTGTGTAGTGAAGAGACAGAGTTGTGTAGTGAGCAGACAGAGTTGTGTAGTGAGCAGACAGAGTTGTGTAGTGAGGAGACTGAGTTGTGTAGTGACCAGACAGAGTTGTGTAGTGACCAGACAGAGTTGTGTAGTGAAGAGACAGAGTTGTGTAGTGAAGAGACAGAGTTGTGTAGTGAAGAGACAGAGTTGTGTAGTGACCAGACAGAGTTGTGTAGTGACCAGACAGAGTTGTGTAGTGAAGAGACAGAGTTGTGTAGTGAAGAGACAGAGTTGTGTAGTGACCAGACAGAGTTGTGTAGTGACCAGACAGAGTTGTTGTAGTGAAGAGACAGAGTTGTGTAGTGAAGAGACAGAGTTGTGTAGTGACCAGACAGAGTTGTGTAGTGAAGAGACAGAGTTGTGTAGTGAGGAGACTGAGTTGTGTAGTGAGGAGACTGAGTTGTGTAGTGAGGAGACTGAGTTGTGTAGTGAGGAGACTGAGTTGTGTAGTGAGCAGACAGAGTTGTGTAGTGAAGAGACAGAGTTGTGTAGTGAGGAGACTGAGTTGTGTAGTGAGGAGACTGAGTTGTGTAGTGAGGAGACTGAGTTGTGTAGTGAGCAGACAGAGTTGTGTAGTGAGCAGACAGAGTTGTGTAGTGAGCAGACAGAGTTGTGTAGTGAAGAGACAGGGTTGTGTAGTGACCAGACAGAGTTGTGTAGTGAGCAGACAGAGTTGTGTAGTGAGGAGACTGAGTTGTGTAGTGAGGAGACTGAGTTGTGTAGTGAAGAGACAGAGTTGTGTAGTGAGGAGACTGAGTTGTGTAGTGAGGAGACTGAGTTGTGTAGTGAGCAGACAGAGTTGTGTAGTGAAGAGACAGAGTTGTGTAGTGAGCACAGTGTCGTGTAGTGAGCAGACAGAGTTGTGTAGTGAGCAGACAGAGTTGTGTAGTGAGCAGAAGGAGTTGTGTAGTGAAGAGACAGAGTTGTGTAGTGAAGATATAGAGTTGTGTAGTGAAGAGACAGAGTTGTGTAGTGAGCAGACAGAGTTGTGTAGTGAGCACAGTGTCGTGTAGTGAGCAGACAGAGTTGTGTAGTGAAGAGACTGAGTTGTGTAGTGAGCACAGTGTCGTGTAGTGAGCAGACAGAGTTGTGTAGTGAGCAGACAGAGTTGTGTAGTGAGCAGAAGGAGTTGTGTAGTGAAGAGACAGAGTTGTGTAGTGAAGATATAGAGTTGTGTAGTGAAGAGACAGAGTTGTGTAGTGAGCAGACAGAGTTGTGTAGTGAAGAGACAGAGTTGTGTAGTGCTGAAAAGGGAAAACAGATCAGTGTTTCTGGATTTTTATCAATAACAAAACTAAAGGTTTTTCTTTAAAGGATATTTTTTATGAAGAAGAAGAAGACATTGGAGATGACACGCCCCTCTGGCTGCTACACTCCTCAGCCAATCAGAGCACGCTGAGGGGAATTTCCCCGGATGAGCAGGAGGAGGTGTCTGGGGAGAGGGGAGAGTGTTGGAAGCAGAGGAAGCAGTCACACCACTGTACTGTACTGTTTACTGACTGTAAATGTCAGAATCAGCGGGGGCGTGGTCAGCCTAAGAAGGGGCGTGGTCATTCTCAGAGGGGGCGGTCTCAGCCTCAGAGGGGGCGTGGTCAGCCTCAGAGGAGTCAGAGCAGAAAAAGCCCAGAGCAGCAGCTGATGCATTGATCCAGGACTCATCAGGACAAAGGTAAACAACTCTTTCTCTCTTTTTAACACATGAAACACAGAACACCGTTTAAAGCTGGGGTCTGTAACTTTCAAACCAAACCTAGAGAGGACCCCCCTCTCTCGGCCAAGACAGTGACTCTCAGGGATCTTTCTAAAGAGATGGAGGTTTGTGTCTGATTTGTTCAACATTTTACTTTAAGGCTCTTTCTGTTGAGACAAACCACACGTGTCACTCATGAAGCTAAAGTTAGAGACCCCAGCTTTAAATTAGGAAACAGTGTTCCTCTAACTTGTTTTCATCAATGTCCGGTGTCATAACAGAAAGATAGAGTTTGTGTGTGTGTGTGTGTGTGTATGTGTGTGTATCTGTCTGTGTGTGTGTCCGTGTGAGTGTCTGTGTGTGTCTGTATGTGTATGTGTGTGTATCTGTCTGTGTGTGTGTATGTGTCTGTCTGTGTGTGTCTATGAGTGTGTGTGTGTATGTGTGTGTGTGTATATCTGTGTGTGTGTCTGTGTGTGTCTGTGTGGTCTGTGTGTATGTGTGTGTATGTGTGTGTATGTGTGGTCTGTGTGTGTGTGTGTGTGTGGTCTGTGTGTATGTGTGTGTATGTGTGTGTATGTGTGGTCTGTGTGTGTGTGTGTGTGTGGTCTGTGTGTTCTGTGTGTGTGTGTGTGTGTGTGTGTGTGTGTGTGTGTGTATGTATGTGTGTGTGTGTATGTGTGGTCTGTGTGTGTGTTGTGTGTGTGTTGTAGAACCAACACGTGTCCCTGTGCTGTTGTGTTCAGACAGTTCTACATGATTCATCTGTTTTCCTTTAAGTTCTATATAAATAAATGTGATACAAAGACTCAGCCCAAAGGGTCAAATAGTGACTCACAGGGACGGTTTGTTCACAACATTTTGCCAAATTCTTTCTTTTGGATGAACCACATTTAGGTTCTGCAGCTTTAAGGAGAATTTGATCCAGATTTACAGATTGGACGAGGAAAAAAAAGTGTTTGAAAATCCAGTCTTTAAATGTGACAAAGTTCCCTCTGACGTGTCGTGGGCTTTACTTTGACAAGACTCTGTCGCCAGGAAAGTTAGGAACCCCAGCTTTAAGTAACAGTAATGTGTAGTAGAATGATTGAAATGAAGTATCTGCAGCTGATTGAACCTGAAACACAGTCACACACTCTGAACACAAATGAACCATAATTATCAAAGCTGTGATTAAGAACTGGAGCTGATTCATGAGAATCTGTTATTGTCTTTTTCTCTTAACGATGTTTTACTTCAAATGAATAAAAATAATAACAAACACATAAAGCCATTGGTTCATCAGGAGCATCAGGAGCATCAGGGAGGACTGAGGCTGAAATTCCTTGGTAACCACGGCTTCCAGCAGCTCTCTGGCCAATCACTGTTAGAGCCACAGACTGTAAATATGAACAGATGTAATCACGTCTGTCCCAGTGGGGGAGGGTCCCGGCTCAAAAGTGTCCAAAATGATATGCGCTGACATGCTGCAATACCACCCCGGGCCTGTGGGGGTGGACCCAGAAGAAGAATTAGCCAATGCTAACATATAGCATTGGCAGACCTCTCAAAAACGTCTTTACAGGATGGACCAAAAGTTGGCTCTTGGCCCAAAGCTCCGTTCCACATGTGTGTCAATGCTGAAGGAGTATTCTGGACCAGTCTAGTTTAGTTGCTGTGGACTTTAAAAATTCAAATGAATGGAGCTCTCTCCGGCTGACGCATGCACAGATGTGTTTTTTCACCATTTTCTTGTGGGCGGGACCACTCGCGGCCATTTTGGATTGCTCCAGTAGAGCAGGGGTTCCCAAAGTTTTTAGCCCGCGACCCCCATCATAAATGCCCTGCTAACCCGCGACCCCCCCCCTTGATGTATTTCCTTGATACGGAGTAACGCTTTCTAGAGACTCACGCCACTACCGAGCTGCACTGTCCAGCCCAAAAAAGGAGGCTTGCTTATTTTTACTCATGTAGTGACACAGTGATGGGCTTGGTGGGCTCCCTCTTCAGCAGAAGTGGAGCGCATTTCTTGCGGCTCGCCCTCACTGTTCTCCTACCGCGGTAAAGTGGGCCGGCTTTCCGGAGTCAGCGGTAAAGAGGTCCGCACATTAAAAGCGGACGGCCGCTTTCTGCTGTTACTTCAGATTCAGATTCAGATTCATTTATGCGGTTCATCCCCGCAGCTTCTCTTTCCAAAGTTACTGTCAGTAAAGGCATAAACCGGCCACCCGCTTTTAATGTGCGGACCTCTTTACCTTTGACTCCGAAAAGCCGGGCCTCTTTAACGCGCTGTTCTACCGCTGCCCTCTCTCCCTCCGCTGCCCTCTCTCCCTCCTCTGCCCTCTCTCCCTCCTCTGCCCTCTCTCCCTCCTCTGCCCTCTCTCCCTCCTCTGCCCTCTCTCCCTCCTCTGCCCTCCCTCCCTCCGCTGCCCTCTCTCCCTCCTCTGCCCTCTCTCCCTCTCTTCGCACCATCAGCCTGACCCCTGATACAAGTGACTTTTCTCCCCCTCCGGGTTTTTCTGTTGTGGATATTAACCACGTTTCATTTTAAAGCAGGTATTATTTATTTGTAGCCTCCAAACACCTTTAGTTTTAGCAAACAACAGCAGGACACGCTTTGTCGCTGCGCATGATGTGAGCTGTGTTACGTGAGGATTTTGATTGACGCTGCAATGACTGGGACAAAATTACTAACGTTATTAAAATATATTATAGTCTTTTTTTGTGTGTGGAAATCATCTTGCGACCCCCCCAGGGGTTCCCGCGACCCCCCGGGATACTGCAGATACTTCATTTCAATCATTCTACTACACATTACTGTTACTTAAAGCTGGGGTTCCTAACTTTCCTGGCGACAGAGTCTTGTCAAAGTAAAGCCCACAACACGTCAGAGGGAACTTTGTCACATTTAAAGACTGGATTTTCAAACACTTTTTTTTCCTCGTCCAATCTGTAAATCTGGATCAAATTCTCCTTAAAGCTGCAGAACCTAAATGTGGTTCATCCAAAAGAAAGAATTTGGCAAAATGCTGTGAACAATGCTGTGTGTGTGAGTCACTATTTGACCCTTTGGGCTGAGTCTTTGTATCACATTTATTTATATAGAACTGTAGCTGTGGCTACAGTAGTTTATCACCACTGTGTTTGGAGAGAAAGATTAATGATGTGAAGAAAAGCGCTGTATAAAAATGATGCATTATTATAGCACCAGCTCGGCCTGGACAGAACCAGGACCCATCCATCCATTTTCTACCCTTTAATCCATTTCTGGGTCAGGGGGGTGACAGTCAGAGATGCCACCCAAGTCTCATAGCACCAGCCCCTCACTGACCCTCTGCAGGTGGTGAGTCCACAGGAGGACGGCTGCTCTTTGAGTGTGAGCATAGCCTTGATCTTTCAGTGGGGGCTTTGGGCAAAGTAGGGTTAAGTGTCTTGCCCAAGGACACAACGACAGCAGTCATCAGTGGGAGTCGGTGGAGAAGGTGCAGAGGTGGGAATTGAACCCACAACCTTCTGGGCTTAAGGCCAATGCTCTACCAACTGAGCCCAAGAGGGACTAAAGAAGAACCTGGTCCTGGTTCACACAGGACCACCCTCTCTCGGCCAATCAGCTCTCAGCCCAAAGAGTCCAACAGTGACTCTCGTAAAAGAGTTGTTTTCTAACAAGACACAGGTCGTGATCTGGACCTTGTGGACGGACAGAAAGTCCAGGACCCGAGCTTTAAAGCAGCAGCAGTAGTTTCTCATCAGGTAAATGTTCTGTGCTTTAATCACTGTTTATCCATGTAGTGTTTGACCCAGTTTCTGTCCACTCTCTACTTTAAGAAACAGTCATAATCAGTAAATGATTATTATGAATTAAGTAATTGCAGCAGGTTGAACCTGAAACACAGAAACAAACTCTGCACTTTAAAATGAAACACAAATGAATAATAATTATCAAAGCTGTGATTAAGAGAATAATTGGAGGAGATTCATGAAAGTCCCTGTTTTTGTCTGTTTCTCTAAACAATGTTTTGCTCCGAGAAAAACCATGACACACTTCAACACATTATTATAATAATATATTATATTAAACTCAGTCACATGTACAGCAGTACATGTGACAGCGGCTCAGTGGTAGAGCAGTGGCCTTTGAGCCTGAAGGTCGTGGGTTCGAGCCCACCTCGAGACCTACTTCACGACTTGATGACTGCTGTCGTTGTGTCCTTGGGCAAGACACTTAACCCCACTTTGCCTGAAGCTCCCACTGAAAGATCTCAGCTCCTGTGGACTCACCACCTGCAGGAGGATCAGTGAGGGGCTGGTGCTCTGTGGACTGGGTGCAGCTCTGACTGCCACCCCCCGACCCAGAAATGGATTAAGGGGAAGAAAATGGATGGATGTATTCTAGTATTTCCCTAAATCACAACAGCATCATCTCAGAGACTTACAGTAAGACAACCACGGAAATCACCAACACAGATCAGAGAATCAAACTGAGGCTGTAGACCCAGGACTGAGGCTGTAGACCCAGGACTGAGGCTGTAGATCCAGGACTGAGGCTGTAGACCCAGGACTGAGGCTGTAGATCCAGGACTGAGGCTGTAGACCCAGGACTGAGGCTGTAGATCCAGGACTGAGACTGTAGACCCAGGACTGAGGCTGTAGACCCAGGACTGAGGCTGTAGACCCAGGACTGAGGCTGTAGATCCAGGACTGAGACTGTAGACCCAGGACTGAGACTGTAGACCCAGGACTGAGGCTGTAGACCCAGGACTGAGGCTGTAGACCCAGGACTGAGGCTGTAGACCCAGGACTGAGGCTGTAGACCCAGGACTGAGGCTGTAGACCCAGGACTGAGGCTGTAAATCCAGGACTGAGGCTGTAGACCCAGGACTGAGACTTTAGATCCAGGATCATATGTTTTCTACAAAAATCATTTTAATAATGACTTTCATTCTACATTTTCCATTCGCTGCTGATAGTTGTTGATAATGTTGACGTTGTTCATATAATTCTCCTTCTGTTGTGGGCGTGAGGCGTCAACCGTGACGAATTGTGTTATAAACTTTATTTGATAATTAACCTGAGGCACCAGTGAATAAATCCCAATTACAGGCGTTTGATTGTAATTATGGAATTCATTTTAAAAGGTCCGACACTCTTCATTTGTCGATTAAGGATTCATTTAAGTTGTTATCAGTCAAAGCAAGTTTATTTGCTGTAAAATAAGCTCTAAAACAGTTTATTCAAAACTCTGCAGCTCCAGTCCGGACTAGAACCAGGAAGTACCATCACATTAGTGCTGGTCTCAGGTCTCTGCACCTGTGGCTCAGAGAACAGTCTCTCCATGGCCTCAAAGTCCATCTGTGACATGTTAGTGCATATGAACTAACTCTGAGGAGCACAGGGACTGGCCTCCTGCTGAGACTCTGAGGAGCACAGGGACTGCCCTCCTGCTAGGACTCTGAGGAGCACAGGGACTGGCCTCCTGCTGGGACTCTGAGGAGCACAGGGACTGGCCTCCTGCTGGGACTCTGAGGAGCACAGGGACTGGCCTCCTGCTGGGACTCTGAGGAGCACAGGGACTGGCCTCCTGCTGGGACTCTGAGGAGCACAGGGACTGGCCTCCTGCTGGGACTCTGAGGAGCACAGGGACTGGCCTCCTGCTGGGACTCTGAGGAGCACAGGGACTGGCCTCCTGCTGGGACTCTGAGGAGCACAGGGACTGGCCTCCTGCTGGGACTCTGAGGAGCAAAATATAAGTCCAAAGTGGCTCAATTTTAGTTTCAGCACATTTTAAAGGTGCACTTTATTGATCCCCGTTGGGCCAGCATGTCCAAACTCAGGCCCGCGAGCCAATTGCGGCCCTCTGTGCCATTTTATGTGACCCTCTGCTGCTTACACAAAGTCGCCATTGAGGCACTTTGACAGTGTCATCCAGCCAACTTCAGCTCCACCAACACAGTCACGCTGTACCTTGTTGTGAATCTCAGATCCTCTGGAGTCCACTCATCGACTGTTTTGTTATTTACTGATATCTGTTTCATGATTGTGTCACAACATTCCAAATAAACTCATTTTAAATTCCATAATCCAGATCCAATCCAGTTTTTAATTCCAGGTTAACTAAAGTGGCTCTGTAACTAAAATATTTGGACACCCCTGACATAGGGTCATTCATCCTCTGCCTCTGACCCTGATGCCACTAGGGCCCTGGAGCTGCTGTGTTCCTCTGCTGTAAGTGCCCAAAGCCTCTGAGTTTCCTGACTCTGTGTTCTTCAGAGTCACTGATCTTGGGTTTGTCGTTATTAAAACACAGACCGTGATTAACACTAACGACCGTGCATTAAACCACTGAATGAGCAGCAGTCGTTACAGAAGCGTCCGCACCCACTCATCATCACAAACACAGTCAGGCAGAACAACAATACCACACACTGTAAATACTAACAGACGGTGACGCCTTTCTCCGCCGATCAAACTAATGTGAATCACTTTTGCCTATGGGGCTTTTTCAAAATGGCCGCGGACAGACCCTTCCCCAGGAAAGTGCATTCTGAAGTCCACCGCGGCTAAACTAGACTGGTCCAAAAATATACTCCCTTCAGCATTGACAGCATCTGGAAGGTAGCTTTGGACCTAGACCAGGGGTCGGCAACTCATAAGGTTCAAAAAGCCAAATTTGACAAAAAAAATTAAAAACATCTGTCTGAAGCCTTGTATAAGTTTTATATGAAGGTAACAGTATTAGCTACATTAGCCTACATAAATACATAATAAGCATTCATGATTATCAAATGTGTGTTTTCACTGTGTCCTGGGGAGAATGACACACCACGTGACGACTCTACTTTAACTTTAACTTACATTTGTTTGTCTTTCAATTTTTTAACTTTCATGCAATTGTAGAAATACAGTAAATAAATCTGCTTTTGGCTCAGAGTTCACCTGCATCACTGTCTCTTCATATCCATCACAGGCTGAAGTTTGCTGGAGCTGAATGTCCTTAACGGCCTTTTCTCTCACGGTCTTTGCGAAGGTATTTGAAGTCTGAAAATAGGTGCTCTGACTTTATGATGAATGAATCCTTCAGTGAACAGTGTTTAAAGCTTCATTGCCACTTTTGGACCAAGAGCCACTTTTGGACCAAAAGCCACTTTTGGACCAAGAGCCACTTTTGGACCAAGCGCCACTTTTGGACCAAGAGCCACTTTTGGACCAAGCGCCACTTTTGGACCAAGAGCCACTTTTGGACCAAGAGCCACTTTTGGATCAAGAGCCACTTTTGGACCAAGAGCCACTTTTGGAATCAAGAGCCACTTTAGGACCTAGAACCACTTTTGGATCAAGAGCCACTTTTGGACCAAGAGCCACTTTAGGACCAAGAGCCACTTTTGGATCAAGAGCCACTTTAGGACCTAGAGCCACTTTTGGACCAAGAGCCACTTTAGGACCTAGAGCCACTTTTGGACCAAGAGCCACTTTAGGACCTAGAGACACTTTAGGATCTAGAGCCACTTTAGGACCTAGAGCCACTTTAGGACCAAGAGCCACTTTTGGACCAAGAGCCACTTTTGGACCAAGAGCCACTTTTGGACCAAGCGCCACTTTTGGACCAAGAGCCACTTTTGGACCAAGAGCCACTTTTGGACCAAGAGCCACTTTTGGATCAAGAGCCACTTTAGGACCTAGAACCACTTTTGGACCAAGAGCCACTTTTGGACCAAGAGCCACTTTAGGACCTAGAGCCACTTTTGGACCAAGAGCCACTTTAGGACCTAGAGCCACTTTAGGACCTAGAGCCACTTTTGGACCAAGAGCCACTTTAGGACCTAGAGCCACTTTTGGACTAAGAGCCACTTTAGGACCTAGAGCCACTTTTGGACCAAGAGCCACTTTTGGAATCAAGAGCCACTTTAGGACCTAGAACCACTTTTGGACCAAGCGCCACTTTTGGACCAAGAGCCACTTTAGGACCTAGAGCCACTTTTGGACCAAGAGCCACTTTAGGACCTAGAGCCACTTTTGGACCAAGAGCCACTTTAGGACCAAGAGCCACTTTAGGACCAAGAGCCACTTTTGGACCAAGAGCCACTTTAGGACCTAGAGACACTTTAGGATCTAGAGCCACTTTAGGACCTAGAGCCACTTTAGGACCAAGAGCCACTTTTGGACCAAGAGCCACTTTTGGACCAAGCGCCACTTTTGGACCAAGAGCCACTTTTGGACCAAGAGCCACTTTTGGACCAAGAGCCACTTTTGGATCAAGAGCCACTTTAGGACCTAGAACCACTTTTGGACCAAGAGCCACTTTTGGACCAAGAGCCACTTTAGGACCTAGAGCCACTTTAGGACCAAGAGCCACTTTAGGACCTAGAGCCACTTTTGGACCAAGAGCCATTTTAGGACCAAGAGCCACTTTAGGACCAAGAGCCACTTTAGGACCTAGAGCCACTTTAGGACCAAGAGCCACTTTAGGACCAAGAGCCACTTTTGGACCAAGAGCCACTTTTGGAGCATCCTGTAAAGAGGTTTTCGAGCGGAAAGAAGGCGGCATACAAAAGCATTGGGTAATTCTCTTTCCGGGTACACCCCCTGTTAGCACTTGACAGAAGTACTTCTGCGGCCGCTGGTCCATGTTCTGTAGCTTAGGTCCTGGATCTACAACCCGCCCATCCGTGGGAGCGGATCCCTTTCTCAAACTATGGGTCTCCCTGAGGTTTTTCACTTTTTCCCACTGGGTTTTCTTATGAGTTGTTCCTCTGATGCAGGAGGGTCTGTTGGACAGTTAGTGTCCAACTAGAAGGACTGTGATGATCCAGGACACTTTAACATTCTACATGTATGACATTTATCAACATGTGTTCTATATTCTTCATGTGTTTTAACTGTTGATTCTCTGATCTGTGTTGGTGATTTCAATGGTTTTGTTAAGTCTCTGAGATGATACTGTTGTGATTTAGGGCTACACAAGAATACATTGTATTGTATTGTATTGTACTTGTCCAGGGGCCGACGACACTTGATAAAAAATTATACAAAATGAAGTCATAATCAATTGAATCGAGTGGTTTTTATTTCAATCTGACACATTCTGACTGTGTTAAAACTAGATTCTCAAATGGGACAAAGACATTTAGTCTGATTTCAAAAACTGTTGTTTTTTTTTCCTCATTCCAAGGAAGACATTTCTGTATCTTTTCAAAACCAGACCATTTTTCTTTGTCCCTTTGGAGAATCTAGTTTTGAGGCTCAGTCGGATTGTGCTCAGATTAAGACACATTTTTACAAATTTGAGCAATTTCTGGCTTGTTTTCATGTCACTTTTTGCAATGTATTATTGTAAAGTTAAAGATTTTATACTTGCTTCTTTATGATGCTAAAGCTACGGATTGTATACATTCATCTTCATCATGTTAAAGTGAGTTATTATTGTATAGTTATAGTCGATGTATCTTGTGCTGTGTGCTCCTCGTTCCTACTGTTCTGTAACGATGCAACACTGACATTTCCCTGCTGTGCGACCGGTAAACCACCTCTTCATCTTCTTCATCAGTGACATTCACACACAGGAGATGACCTCATGTAATAACAGGCTTTGAAACTAGGATTCAGTTTGGAGCAGTTGATTATACATGTATGTTGACAAGTTTCTGCCCAATTGTTCAAATATTGATGATGAAATGAGTTAATGGGGTGTGGTTCAAACATAAAGCACGGTTCATTCACAAGTGCTTCAGAAAATATTAAAGATGATTTTTTACGCATTCTTTTTGTCAATTATTTACTTCAAAGGAGACTGTTCCCAAATTTTAGGAAAGAACCGCCCTCTCCACTTTTTGAAAAATCTCTCTGCTCTTATTGGACGAGCACGTACCACCAGAATGATTGACAACTGAGAGGACCAATAGCCTTGATGATCCACCCAGACGTAGAAAATCTTCATATATACTTTTAGAATCTTGTGAATAAAGATATGGAGATACAAGTACAAGGAATCGAAAAAAAAAAAATCCACCTGTAACAGGGAATTTACACAGTAGGCGTAAACAGCGCATAAGCGTTTACTGCGCGCTCTCTGCGCACAAATTTTTTTTGGAGTATCTACACAGGCCGTGTGCAGGTCCGCGTCTTCTGATGCTCTCCCTGTGTAGTCTATGGAGCAGTGTAGAGGACAGTACAGAGGACTGATGTAGAGCAACACAAATCACATGCATGTGTTTGTCCTCATGGTCTCTGTGCGCTGGTTTGGCCAGACTGAGAGAAACGATGTCCAGAATCACTGTAAAACCTGCTGCTCCTCCTGCTGATGTTTAGACACAAGTGCTGTGTGTGTGTAGATCTAGAGCCAAGGACCGCGAGAAAAATCATGTTTTACATGAGATTTCAATGGGAGACGCGTTGGTGCGTGCACAAAATTAGAAATCCATCCTAAATTAGAGCGCCGCTTCGCAGCATACACACGTATAACGCTAGAAGTGTAAATATCATCATAGGTTAACATGGAAAAAAGTTACGCGCGTCTGCTGCGCGTATAACGCGTACGTGCTGTAACGCGTGATGTGTAAATTAGCAGTGACTCTCTATCCGGCCACCAGAGGGAGGAGGGGAGTTTGTTTTGTATTTTTCTAAATTCCCGGTGTAAATCTGTAATTTCATCTGAGATATGACTCAAGCTAATTCATGGGCAATACATTTGTTTAAAAAAATAATGTCATAGTGGTACAAAAACATCGTCATAAAGCCTTTTATTAGATCCCGCTTTTTTGGACACTCAAAAAAACGGGACGGAGAGATTCACCGATTTGCATGAGCCACATGATTCATCTCTGTTCTATACTGTTCACTAAAGAGTCCTGTTTGGAAGTGAGACAAGAAAAAACAACAACATTGTAAAGCGCTTTGGGACTCTGGTTTGCGAAAGGCGCTATAAAAAAAATATTCCTTACTAACTGACTTATTCAGGAAGGCAGGGTTTAGGTGACTGAGGAGAGACTTGTGAGAAATGTGGATGAAGCAGGAAAGTTGAGAGCCCTCTGAGTCACGGATGGAGGAAAGTTCTGTATTTTTTTCTGTGTTTTGCATCTTTTCCAGATTTCTAGATCTTGCTAATGTGAGAGTGAGGGGGATTTTCTCCATCACAGATTGTATTACGCTATCGTAGTGTTCAGGCCAAATGGTAGAGCTCGAAACAAAAGGAACGGTCATCGTCTGTCGAGGGTCTGACGGGTTGAAGAGTTAGTTTAACTCATGTACTTTTGTGGGAACCTGGACTCAGCTTTGGCTTTGTCCTCTTCGGCACATTTGTCCATGTTTGTCTTAGCTCTGCTGTTCATCGCTGGAATACGTGTCATGATATTTTTGTGAATTCCTTAAGGTCTGTATTCAGCTCTCAAACCTGATCTGAAGTCCCAACACTAAAAGACATTCTTACAGACACCATTTACCAGTGAACTTGCTGTAAATAATGTGATATTGTGATTTTTTTTCCAGTCTCATCATGTCGAGTGATTTCCCGGAAGAGCATTTCCGGTGCAGCATCTGCCTGGACATCTTCAAGAAGCCAGCGACCATCCCGTGTGGACATAACTTCTGCATAGAATGTATTAAACGTTACTGGGGCACGCGGAGCAAAGCCAACTGCCCGTTGTGCAAGGAGACGTTCAAGAGCCGGCCCAAACTGTCCGTGAACTTGGCCTTCAGGGACCTCATCAAAAAGATGAGGTAAATTAACCTCAGTGTAGCTTTTCAGGAAATCAGTTTGAAGCTGTGCCTGTGTGGTTTTCTCAGAGCCGACAGAGTGGAGCTGCAGATAATCCTTTGGAGAGAACAATTAAAATGTTTTTGAATTCTGTTTGGATTATGTATGGGCTGCTCCCTCATCTCAGGCAGGCCCCCGTTCACTCTTCATACAGGCAAAGGGCAGTCACACATCTGCACGTGGGGCGATACAGTCTCTTACACATTCGCCAACGTCTCTCAGATTAATTCATACCACACTCTGCATTTAAGGTTAGGGTCCACTTAAGTCTGGTTTGTAACTCCCATCGGATTGATGAGCCTGAGGGTTGTATTTTTAACAAGGGGAAAAGAACTGAATGTTACAAATACGTTTCTATATCTATGATATTTAGTGTGCATTTCCGTACAGGGCTAAACCGAGTGTCACTAAACCGGCCCCACATCCTCGCCCCCAACGCCAGTCCTCGTTTGAAGTGTTCTGTGAGGTGTGCGAGAAGGAGGGGCTGGAGCAGAGTCATGCAGTGAAGTCCTGCCTGGTTTGCAGAGAGTCCTACTGTGTGAACCACCTGGTCCCACACCTCAGAGACCCCGTCATGACAAAGCACATGCTGACGGACCCTGGAACCTTCATCTCCAGCCACACCTGCCGCAGACACAGCCGCCTGCTGGAGATGTTCTGCCAGACCGACCAGCAGTTAGTGTGTTCCAAGTGCACGGAGCGAGAGCACAAGCACCATGAAGTTGTGTCCATCGAGAAGGAGAGCCAGAGAGTCCTGGTACGTCACACTATACTGTTTCAATCTTATTTTACTGTCTCTTCTCAGTCACCCAAACCCTGCCTCTACCTCCGCCTCCTCCGTCAAACCACTCATCTCTTCCTCTATCACCGCCACTCTCAAAAATCCCTTATGACCCTCCCCTGCTTTCCCTTTCCCCTCTTATCTCTAATTGCAATGTCACTGAGACTCAAATTAGAAAATAGATCCAGCCCTGTCACAAAGCCACCTTCTCTATACCCTTATGGACCTAATACACAGTTGGTGTGCAAGCACCTAGAGGCCATGTCGATATAGAAGAAGAGCCAGATAATGGTGTACATCACTAGACCTTAGTCTAGACCAGTACCTAAGTTACCTTAGGTACTGGTTGTCACACTTTAGAGTGGTTCTTAATTTTCATTGAAAGTAAACTTATATTGTGATTGACAGGATTTGGAAAAAAATCAGGAAATTGCATTGATCAGTTGTCCTATCCCCTTTTCTGAAAAGCAGCCCTAAACTATGATTTTTTTTCCACAAAATATAAAAAATGATATGTTTCCGTAATTTACGATGGTTCCCCTGCTGAGACAGCTCTTGTCCAGGACCGTCCACAATGTTCCATTGACCACCTGGATGATCCGGAAGAGGCCTGGCAGAATACAACTAAGAACTCTTGATGTAGTAAGAACTACAGACCTTCTGTGAGGCAAAGGGGTGGAGATTATGTATAGTATTGTGATTCCATTTGATGGAGAAGAAACATGGCTGGGTCCTCCAGTATGACAATGATGCCAAACACATCGCTCTAGCAACAAAGGAGTTGGTCCGGTTAAAGCCTTTTAAGTTCCTGGAATGGCCTTTACACTCCCTAGATCTCCATCCAATAGAAAATCTGACTGTCAGCCCCAAAACATCAGCTCTACTTTAGGAATTCTCTAATATTCCAAAGTGAGACAGCTTGCATAATTGTTAACTGTCAAATACTTCCCCACTGGACATGCACCTGTCGTGTTTTTAGTTCTAGAAGCAGTTTCATCATGCAATTTATAGATGTTGAAAACAACAATGTAAAGTCAGATCTTTTGTTCCAGGGCAAAATGAAGGAAGCAGAGGCGGACTTCCATCACCTGATTAAGGCTCGGACCACGAAGATCCAAGAGCTCAAGGAGAGTCTGGACCAGGGCAAAGTGAGGCCTGCTAATACTCACACAATACACTGAACTATACTGTTTCAAAGGTGTTGGTTTGACATCAGAGTAATCTTTTGACACTAATCTCTGACGGACAAGTTAATAGGGGACAAATTATGAACATCAATTAAGTTAATAAAAAATATGCAACCAAAGACGTCAGCAGTGTTTTTGCATAGACACTGCTGACACTTTATGACCTAGAACACATCGGAGCCCCCACCACCACCACCCTCCTCCTTCTTCTCCTGCTCACCAGCACCGGGTGAGTACTGTGGTGCAAACACTGACCCCTGTCCGTCTGGCAGTGAAATAACAGTCTTGCCGCTGAACCGTGCTGCCTCCTGCTCTAAACAACGAAGTAATGCCGTCCTGAATCCGGGACTTAAACAGCAAAAGAGTTCACATGTTAGACAAATAGAAACTGTGTGTGTTCCTCGCATCAGTTTCAAAAAAATTTTTTATTTGAATGGAAAACAAAATCATAACAGAGGGACAGCAGTTAGACATTCAAATCTAATTCCTGCTCCTTGTAAAAATCAATTAACTAAACCCACTGTTACTGATTAATTTCTGACTGAAACTTGGCTTGACCAGAGTACAGGTAATGCGGTTTTAATAGAAGCAACGCCACCAAACTTCAAATTTGAATCTGAAATACGAGAAAATAAAAGGGGGGGTGGCATTGCTGCATTATTTAGAGATCATATTATCTCTCATAGAATTCTCCTTGGAAATTTTCCATCATTTGAGTATATTTCTTTTAAAATAGAACAAAAACAATCTCCTTCTATTCTTATCATTGTCCTGTACAAGCCACCGCAGTCATGTCACAATTTCATTGATAATTTCACTGAGTTGCTTTCAGTTGTTTGCACCGATTTTGATAGTTTAGTGATTACAGGTGATTTTAATATTCATGTGGATAATGGCAATGACAAAAATGCAAAAGAGCTGAGTTCTTTACTTGAAACATTTGGTCTCACTCAGCACGTGAGTGGCCCCACCCACAGCAAAGGGCACACTCTAGACCTGCTGGTTACTAAGGGGGTTAATATTTTAAATGTAAATGTGGTTGACGTGGCTCTGTCAGATCACTTCTGTGTATTTTTTGACATGTGTTTTGATAGTAAACAACCATATAAATCTGAATCTGCAATTGTCAGACACAGACACATAAATTAAAACACAACCGAACTATTCATGGGAATGATAAACTTTGAGAACACATTGTGTTCTACTGTTGACGAATTTTTTAACTCTGTCACCTCCAATGTTATAAATGTTCTGGACATCATCGCTCCTGTGAAGGTTAAAATGATTACAAATAAGCCAAAGGCCCCCTGGACTAAAATGGACTCAGTCATGGTACAGAAGAGAGAGTGCCGTAGGGCCGAGCGGAAGTGGCGAAAATCCAATCTCCAGGTTGATCATGAGATCTTCAAAAATGAGTTGTGCAAGTTTAACAGGGTGCTACGTAGAACAAGAGAAATTTATTTTTCTAAAACCATTTATGGCTGCAATAATAATCTACGACTTATGTTTTCAACAGTTAACAGATTAACAAACCCCCCTGTTCAGCTGCCATTAGAATTTGCTTCAGAATCTAAATGTAATGAGTTTGCACAATTTTTCAATGACAAGGTTCAGAGCATCAAAAACGCCATCACCTCCAAGGCAGAAATAACATTACAACAGCCGGTGAGGCTGTTTGAGCTATCGCACTTTGCACCAACAGATAATGAGACTGTCCAAGATGTTGTCTCTAGCCTTAGTTCCTCCACATGTAGCCTGGATGTACTACCCACTAAATTTTTTAAGTCTGTTTTGAGCAGTCTTTTACCTTTGCTCACACAAATAGTGAACATGTCTCTCTCATCTGGAACACTTCCAATAGCCCTGAAAACGGCAGTCATCAGACCCCTCCTAAAAAAGAGGAGTCTAGATGCCACAGTTCTTAAGAATTACCGGCCCATTTCAAATCTGCCGTTTATGGGAAAAATTCTGGAAAAAGTTGCTTACCAACAACTTACAGAATTCTTAGTAACTAATAGTTCCTTTGATGCGCTCTAGTCCGGCTTTAGAGGCAATCACAGCACTGAGACTGCACTAGTGAAGGTTACAAATGACATCCGACTTAACACCGACACAGGAAAAGTCACAGTTTTAGTAATGCTGGATCTGAGTGCTGCGTTCGACACAGTCGACCATGAGATCCTCTTACAGAGACTAGAGCACTGGGTGGGTCACTGGGACTGCTCTAAGTTGGTTTAGGTCTTACCTAGAAGACAGGAAATACTTGGTTCAGATAGGAAACTGTGTCTCAGATCATTTGGCTCTGACCTGCGGAGTGCCACAGGGGTCAATTCTGGGGCCTCTTCTGTTCAATATTTATATGCTGCCATTAGGTCAAGTAATACGCTCCAACAATGTATCCTACCACAATTACGCTGATGTTACGCTGATTAGTCCAGTTCTCAGGTCTCTGCACTGGCTTCCTGTGGCTCAGAGAATAGACTTCAAAGCAGCACTGCTTGTGTACAAGTCTCTCCATGGCCTCGCACTAAAGTACTTAAGCGACTTGTTAGTGCCATATGAACCGGCCCGGACTCTGAGAAGCACAGGAGGTCGCCTCTTACTGGTTCCAGAACTAACATGGGGAGGCAGCGTTTGAGATTTATGCAGCTAAAATCTGGAACAAGCTTCCTGAAAATGTGAGGCTAGCATCTACTCTGGCAATTTTCAAATCAGGGTTAAAAACTGTTCTTTTTAGCTGTGCATACGGCTGAAGGATTTTATTGATACATACTCTTTTTTTAATGCATTGTGGTTATTTATTATTTTAATCCCGTGTGTGCTTTTAATGTTTTAAGGTTTTTTCATTACTTGTGATTTTTATTCTGTTTTTAATGTATTTATTGTTTGTATATGTAGTTTTTGATGTTTCTGATTTGTCTGATATTATGTGGGTTGTGAGGCGCTTTGATTGGCCTTGTGTTGGAAAGGCGCCATACAAATAAAGTTGATTGATTGATTGATAGAAAACCAATCAGTGTCTCAGTAAGAGGGACCTTCCCTTCTCACATGTCTGCATCTCTGTGGGAGCTGTGTGTTCATTCTGCTCCTGTTTTACCACCTGCGCCTTCAAACCTTTTTGTTTGCTTTATTGCTGTGCCTTTTTCAACACATCCTTTAAATCGCCCTTTCTTAATTCAGTGCACGGGGCACCAGGACCTGAGGTCGGAAGTCGATAATCGACTTTGTTGTCGTAAAAAGGTCTGTGGTCACAAGGTCTCTGGTGCTGGTCCCGGAGGCAACCCCCGAACCCGGTGGTGGACACTGGCAGTAAGGGATGCTGTCAGGCTTTAGAAGGAGTACTATCGAGCCATGATGGTTCGTGGGACTCCTGAGGCAGCTGTCCAGTTTCTGGATGTTGTAGGACTGTCTTGGCTGACACGTCTCTGCAACATCGCGTGGCGATCAGGCCGGTGCCAATGTTGTGGCAGACCGGGGTGGTGGTCCCTCTCTACAAGAAGGGGGACCGGAGGGTGTGTTCCAATTATCGTGGAATCACACTCCTCAGCCTAGCCGGTAAGGTCTACTCCAAGGTACTGGAGAGGAGACTTCGACGATGGTCGAATCTCGGATTCAGGAGGAGTAGTGTGGTTTTCGTCCCGGCCGTGGAACAGTGGACCAGCTCTATACTCTCCATCGGATACTCGAGGGTTCATGGGAGTTAGCCTCAGTCCACATGTGCTTTGTGGATCTGGAAGAAGCATGTGACCACAGAATTCCATTTCCATGTTGTCCTTTTGGCTCCAACGAACCAGGACCTGCAACATGCACTGGGACGGTTTGAAGCCGAGTGTGAAGCAGCTGGGATGAGAATCAGCTCCAAATCTGAGGCCAAGGAGCTCGACCGAAAAAAGATGCCTTGCCCTTTCCAAGTCCTGGTCCTCTCCAAGTCCTAGTCCTTTCCAAGTCCTGGTCTTCTCAAAGTCCTGGTCCTCTCCAAGTCCTAGTCCTCTCCAAGTCCTAGTCCTCTCCAAGTCCTGGTCCTCTCCAAGTGGGTGGAGAGGTCCTTCCTCAAGTGGAGAGGTGACCTTTGTAGTAAAGAGGGAGCTGAGCCAAAAGGCAAAATTCTCGATTTACCGCTCAATCTTCGTTCCCTCCCTCAATATGTTCATGAGCTTTGGGTAATGACCAAAAGAACGAGATCACGGATACAAGCAGCAGGAATGAGCTTCCCCTGCAGAGTGGCTTCTCCCCCAAAGATATGGGTGAGGAGCTTATGGGGCTTTCAGACCGCCAACGCTGAAACGCAGAAGTCCCGCTCACCAGACGCGCATTCTCTAGTTTTCAGACGCAGGGGACTTCACACCAGAACGTCCTGACGCGAGCCGGAAGTACCGGAAGTAGCCGGCTCTAATGCTAACAGAGCTATGCTAGTGGCTTCTTGTGTACAGATCTTCTCCAATATTCAGCTTTGCAGCGTGTCTTTGCTCACATACATTCCACGGGCTTTATAGTATGTGTTCACGGAGGTGCGCCATACGTTTTTTCATATTATTAAACCGTATTTCCGCATCGGCGAACACACTCGAAGCAGTTGCATAAGGTCACGGGAGCATGACAACGCATATTTTCACAAGCACAGAGTCCCCCATTGCCAACCCTGGTTTGAGTTCTGGTGAAGACTGGTATGGGTCCTGTTTTGGCAGTTTACGAGTATTTTCAGTCTGCTCGCTCAGTCCGCTAATGTCCCCGTGACCACTTTGCTGCTCTCTGATTGGTTGTCGCACGAACGTCCCAAGGAAAGGATGAGCAGAATCCATCTCCTGTGGGCGTAGATTTTTCGCTCCTGCTCCTCCCTTTTCACTTTCTCGCCAAGTCCGTGCGTCATTATTGAACAGTCAGTTCGTGCGTGCCGAGAGGTCCGTGCGTTGTGACGGTCGAACGCGCGCCACCATAGACTTTGCATTGAAACCCGACGCAACGCATGATCCGGTCTGAAAGCACCAATAGTCACACAGGAGGAGTTTGGAGTAGAGCCGTTGCTTCTCCACATCGAATTAAACTAGTTGAGGTGGCTCGGGAATCTGCTCCGGATTCCTCCTGGACACCTCCCTGGGAAGGTGTTCCAAGCCCGAGGAAAAGACCCAGAACACAGAGGGACAATGTCTCTCAGCTGGCCTGGGAACGCCTTGGGGTCCCCCCTGGAGGAAGTGTGTGTGGATAGGGAAGTCTGGGCGTCTGTTTACATGTTAACATGAAATTTCTTTTTGAGTCTTTTTGAAAAGCCTCACTGTGTTGATTCCAGTTCAGGTTTTGGTCTCTGTGAACATCGAAGGATCTGATCATGGATTTGGGTGTCCATTCATCGCCAGTGCCATGTCTTTTACAATGTATTCACAGCAAATAAAAAAATATGTGGCAATTTTATTGCCTTTCTCTGACAAATTCTGTCAGTTAAAACAAGATTCTCCAATGGGACGAAGTCATTTAGTCTTATTTCAAGAACTGTTGCATTATTTTCTCATTCCTAGATAAACATTTGTTGTATCTTTTAAAAACAAGATGTGTGTGTTTTCACAGAAAGTGAAAGAAGAGGAGCTGCAGCGCAGTCTGCAGGTGCTGCATGTGGTGAAAGTGGCCATGGAGAGCCAGCAGGGGGCGCTGGTGGAGCAGTCTGAGGCCAAACAGCTGGAGCTGGAGAAGAGACACGAGCAGCTGAACAAAAAACTGAACCTGGAACTGTACGAGCTCAACCACAGACGAGGAGAAATCCACCAACTGGAGCTGATCGACGACCCACTGCATCCAGGTTAGAAACACAGCCTCCAGACAGAAGGGGCGGGGCATCCAGGTTAGACACACAGCATCCAGACAGAAGGGGCGGGGCATCCAGGTGAGAAACACAGCCTCCAGACAGAAGGGGCGGGGCATCCAGGTGAGAAACACAGCATCCAGACAGAAGGGGCGGGGCATCCAGGTTAGACACACAGCATCCAGACAGAAGGGGCGGGGCATTCAGGTGAGAAACACAGCATCCAGACAGAAGGGGTGGGACATCCAGGTGAGAAACACAGCATCCAGACAGAAGGGGCGGGGCATCCAGGTGAGAAACACAGCCTCCAGACAGAAGGGGCGGAGCATCCAGGTTAGAAACACAGCATCCAGACAGAAGGGGCGGGGCATCCAGGTGAGAAACACAGCATCCAGACAGAAGGGGCGGGGCATCCAGGTTAAAAACACAGCATCCAGACAGAAGGGGCGGGGCATCCAGGTGAGAAACACAGCATCCAGACAGAAGGGGCGGGGCATCCAGGTTAGAAACACAGCATTCAGACAGAAGGGGCGGGGCATCCAGGTTAGAAACACAGCATTCAGACAGAAGGGGCGGGGCATCCAGGTTAGAAACACAGTATCCAGACAGAAGGGGCGGGGCATCCAGGTGAGAAACACAGAATTCAGACAAAAGGGGCGGGGCATCCAGGTGAGAAACACAGCCTCCAGACAGAAACTCCTGCTTAAAAACCAAAAAGTCAGAAGGATTGTGCGGCCGCATTCAGACTGAAAGTCAAGATCATGGGAACATTAAAATGAAAGCCATGTGCTCATTAGAGCATGGTGAAGGTCTATGGGGACATGCCCTGGGTCGCCCTGGTGAACCTTGTACCTGGTCCTCCATCAGGCCGGGGGCCAGCTTTAATCTAGCAATGTATTCCAGACAGTGTAATCCATCAATGCTCACAGCACATATTGTCTACACACACGAGTCCAGGTCGCAGACGTCTCCTTTAAACACTGACGTTGTTTGCAGAGTTTCCGGTCCCTCATGGCGCCCGGCTTCACTCACGACGTGTCGCAGCTGAAGCTCCAGGTCGGAGGCTCGGTCAGCGCCGTCAGAGAGGCCTTCTCCAAGATGGTGGACTTCTGCCTGGACGTGCAGACTCAGCTGACCAGAGAGGGTGAGGAGGGGGTGGGGTTTAGAGGGTGAGGGTGAGGGGGGTTAGGGTGAGGAGATGGTGGGGATTAGGGGGTGAAGGTGAGGAGGGGGTGAGAAGAGAATGTGTGAGCTCATTGTTCTCAGAGTAACCAGGTCTTTTCTTTGCAGAGCTCAGCCTGATGACGCAGTACGCAGGTGAGTTTTAGAACTTTAACATATTCTGCAAAGTCTTCTTCGTCTTAGCTCTTTTTTTATCCCACACCAAAATCTTCCACAAAGTTTTCTTCTGCTGCTTAATCCTTACAATTCCTTGACTCTAGTCTCTCTCTGGCCTCTCTCTGGTCTCTCTCTGGTCTCTCCCTGGCCTCTCTCTGGTCTCTCTCTAATCTCTCTCTGGACTCTCTCTGGTCTCTCTCTGGTCTCTTTCTGGTCTCTCTCTGATCTCTTTCTGGACTCTCTCTGGACTCTCTCTGGTCTCTCTCTGGTCTCTCTCTGGTCTCTCTCTGGTCCCTCTCTGGTCCCTCTCTGGTCTCTCTCTGGTCTCTCTCTGGCCTCTCTCTGGTGTCTCTCTGGTCTCTCTCTGGTCTCTCTCTGGCCTCTCTCTGGTCTCTCTCTGGTCTCTCTGGTCTCTCTCTGGCCTCTCTCTGGTCTCTCTCTAGTCTCTCTCTAGTCTCTCTCTGATCTCTCTCTGGACTCTCTCTGGTCTCTCTCTGGTCTCTCTCTGGTCTCTCTCTGGTCTCTCTCTGGTCCCTCTCTGGTCCCTCTCCGGTCTCTCTCTGGTCTCTCTCTGGTCTCTCTCTCTGGTCTCTCTCCGGTCTCTCTACGGTCTCTCTCCGGTCTCTCTCTGGTCTCTCTCTGGTCTCTCTCTCTGGTCTCTCTCCGATCTCTCTCTGGTCTCTCTCTGGTCTCTCGCTGGTCTCCTCTGTGTTCTAATGTGTCTGTCTCTGGTTCCTCCTTCAGTGGACGTGACCCTTGACCCCTGCACTGCGGCCGGGTGGCTTGTCCTGTCTGCGGATGGAAAACAGGTGCAGCACAAGTTAATGATTCTATGGAGAAACACCTCATCTGACGTTTATCTTGTCAGACTCTATGAAGAAATAGAGCTTAAATTAATCAATTAATACAATACAAATGAAATGAACATAAAGTAGAGAGTGACAGCCAGGATTATGCAATGTAATGAGAAGACTTTAAGCAGTCTGTAAAAATGTGGCTCAAAGTGGTACTGCAGCCTCTCCCACTCTCCCTGACTCAGGTTGCCAGATATGCAGACGAATCCAGCTGGGACCATAACAGCTGAATAGACAAGAGTTTAGTCAACAACAAATCTATAACCAACACCTTTTTCACAAAGATTGAAATCCTGGTTTTATTCCTTGTTTTGTCGTTAATGATTTGAGAATCATAACGAGACCTTTTTTAGTTCTGCGCCACATGGTACTTTACCAGTGAGATTAGCTCTACACGGTGAGTTCTGGCGCCCGGATCACGGACTTTCTGATTGGTGAAACGGTGGAGGGCGGGACATCGAAATGAAAACAATAACAAGATTTAGAGGCTGGAAAAGTAATTTAGAAATTCAAATATCTCTGAACTACTGTTATCAGTTAAAGAAGTATTGGAAAAGAGCAGTTTATTATTATTACAGATTTGGGCCCTTTAATGATGACAGATTAGGGCCCTTTAATGATGACAAATTAGGGCCCTTTAATGATGACAGATTAGGGCCCTTTAATGATCACTGATTATGGCCCTTTAATGATCACTGATTAGGGCCCTTTAATGATGACAGATTAGGGCCCTTTAATGATGACAGATTAGGGCCCTTTAATGATCACTGATTAGGGCCCTTTAATGATGACAGATTAGGGCCCTTTAATGATGACAAATTAGGGCCCTTTAATGATGACAGATTAGGGCCCTTTAATGATCACTGATTATGGCCCTTTAATGATCACTGATTAGGGCCCTTTAATGATGACAGATTAGGGCCCTTTAATGATGACAGATTAGGGCCCTTTAATGATCACTGATTAGGGCCCTTTAATGATGACAGATTAGGGCCCTTTAATGATGACTCAACATGAAATTCTTACATATTGCAACTTCAAGATCACTGAAAAACGGCACGCAATGTATCGGCCCCTGGTGTCTAAAGTGGGGTTCCTCAAGGCTCCATCCTCGGTCCGTTCAGACATTTGACGTTCACCCTGTGTATATGTTTATATGACAGTGTATTGTTGATCACATGACCATGGACAGACAGTGTATTGTTGATCACATGAACAATGGACAGACAGTGTATTGTTGATCACATGAACATGGACAGACAGTGTATTGTTGATCACATGAACATGGACAGACAGTGTATTGTTGATCACATGAACATGGACAGACAGTGTATTGTTGATCACATGAACATGGACAGACAGTGTATTGTTGATCACATGAACAGACATTAGAGACGCTGATGTGTGTGTGGTGCAGGTGAGCGTGAACCCGCAGACTCGCCGCAGCTCTCTGTACGATGATCCCAAACGCTTCGACTCCTGCGTCTCAGTTCTGGGCAAACAGAGCTTCAGCTGCGGCCGAAACTACTGGGTCGTGCAGGTAACAACCACTCGGAACACAATTATAAACACTTTGATACAGATGTAACACTTTTGGTTTTGCTCCTATTGTTGCAGGGTTTAACTGAATGAAAAAAGACTCTGTAGAAATGCTCAATAAAAACGTCAGATACATTTCTACATCTGCTTCTGTGCTGAGACTATCCCATTTCACAGGTGTGGAGAGACGTCATCCTATTTGGGTTGTATTTGTATTGGATGGGACAGATTGTGCACCAGATTGTAGTAGAAGTACCTAATTTGTATCTGTAGTCACACATACACACACACACACACACACACGTTGTACTGATCCTGAAAAGACAGCATTAATACTACACAGGTCTTATTGGTATCTGAAGAGTGACCTCTCTGACTGTAGTGTGCGTCTATCAAAGGCACAGAGACGGACGCTTATTCACAAAACATAATGGAATCAATGACGTGTGCAAGGTCTGTCCTCAATTGAAAACACTCAGACAGAAAACTTTAAAGCAGCGTTTGAGCAATTCCGTCATCAACTAAGAATAAGAAATACAGGAAAACCTAAAATCAGAAGCTTCTGACCACTGCAAAGTACAAAAGATCAGATGGATTGGTTCAAAATCAGGAAGTGGGACGCACAGACTATCAACAGGGACAAGGGTGCATGAAGCTTGGCTCACACATAGGACTCACTTCTCCAGAGACCACAGCTCTGTCAAAGGTCTACCAAACCTGTCTGTCTGTCTGTCTGTCTGTATGTGATATAAATTCCTTTCTTCACAGGATTAAGGATAGTCTCAACCCCTCCCTTCTTCTCTCCCTTCTTCTTGTTATAATCCAGGTGGGAGATAAAACAGACTGGGACCTGGGCGTGGCCAAAGACTCCATAAACCGTAAGGGCGCCATCACGGTGAGCCCGGACTGCGGCTTCTGGGCGATCTGCCGGCGCAAGAGCGGCTGTCTGAGTGCGTGCACCAGCCCCTCGGTGCCGCTGCCCCTGAGGGAAACCCCGCAGCTCGTGGGCATCTTCCTGGACCACACTGAGGGCCAGGTCTCCTTCTACGACGCCGAGAACAAAGTGCACATCTACACCTTCAGCGACTGCGCCTTCGCCGAGCCGCTGCACCCGTACTTCAACCCCTGTCTGCGGGACAACGGCAAGAACACGGGGCCCCTGGTCATCAGCCCCGTGGAGGCCGTTATCACCGGGGGGAACGCCATCGTCTGAGCTTGTGGGGTTCTGAGCGAGACCAGTTATTATGGAGGATAAAAGTGATTTCCTGGTTTGGATCAGCGTGTCGTCCGCTGTAGTGGTTCTTCTGGCGCCCCCTCCGCTGTCCCCTCTTTGTCAGCATTATTAATATTACTCTCCGTCGCCTCAGACTCTTGATTTCTTGATCAGTTCTCAACAATAGCGCTCATTTCCCCACGTTTGAGCATGATGTCACTTGTGTTTTATCTACCTGTCTTTAGCCGCAAACCATTTCCTCAAAGGAGAGTGGTTGACGACAGAAAGAAGTTCAAATTTCAGACTCATTCATCCACATTCACTCCTTCAGACCCCTGAAGCAAACACGCTAACCCTGACACCCTAACCCTGACACGCTAACCCTGACACGCTAACCCTGACACGCTAACCCTGACACGCTAACCCTGACACTCTAACCCTAACCCCCTAACCCTGACACCCTAACCCTGACACTCTAACCCTAACCCCCTAACCCTGACACCCTAACCCTGACACTCTAACCCTAACCGCCTAACCCTGACACCCTAACCCTGACACTCTAACCCTAACCCTGACACCCTAACCCTGACACTCTAACCCTAACCCTGACACCCTAACCCTGACACTCTAACCCTAACCCCCTAACCCTGACACTCTAACCCTGACACCCTAACCCTGACACTCTAACCCTGACACCCTAACCCTGACACCCTAACCCTGACACCCTAACCCTGACACTCTAACCCTGACACCCTAACCCTGACACTCTAACCCTGACACCCTAACCCTAACCCCCTAACCCTGACACTCTAACCCTGACACCCTAACCCTGACACTCTAACCCTGACACCCTAACCCTGACACTCTAACCCTGACACCCTAACCCTGACACCCTAACCCTGACACTCTAACCCTGACACTCTAACCCTGACACCCTAACCCTGACACTCTAACCCTGACACTCTAACCCTGACACTCTAACCCTGACACCCTAACCCTGACACTCTAACCCTGACACCCTAACCCTGACACCCTAACCCTGACACCCTAACCCTGACACCCTAACCCTGACACCCTAACCCTAACCCCATAACCCTGACACCCTAACCCTGACACCCTAACCCTGACATGCCTACCCTGACACCCTATACCCAGCCTGGGGCCCTACAGCTAAAACTTGTTAACTCTGTCACTCATATTAGTGAAAGTAAATCCCAGTTTACTCTGTTAGCCAAGAGATGATGAGATACAAGGACAGAGCAGTGGAAGCAGTGAGAGAGTCACCGTCAGTAACGATACACATGTCAGGGTCTACGCTCTGGTCCCACAGACGGCTGATCCACCGTCAGTAACGATACACATGTCAGGGTCTACGCTCTGGTCCCACAGACGGCTGATCCACCGTCAGTAACGATACACATGTCAGGGTCTACGCTCTGGTCCCACAGACGGCTGATCCACCGTCTGTAACGATACACATGTCAGGGTCTACGCTCTGGTCCCACAGACGGCTGATCCACCGTCTGTAACGATACACATGTCAGGGTCTACGCTCTGGTCCCACAGACGGCTGATCCACCGTCTGTAACGATACACATGTCAGGGTCTACGCTCTGGTCCCACAGACGGCTGATCCACCGTCTGTAACGATACACATGTCAGGGTCTACGCTCTGGTCCCACAGACGGCTGATCCACCGTCTGTAACGATACACATGTCAGGGTCTACGCTCTGGTCCCACAGACGGCTGATCCACCGTCAGTAACGATACACATGTCAGGGTCTACGCTCTGGTCCCACAGACGGCTGATCCACCGTCTGTAACGATACACATGTCAGGGTCTACGCTCTGGTCCCACAGACGGCTGATCCACCGTCTGTAACGATACACATGTCAGGGTCTACGCTCTGGTCCCACAGACGGCTGATCCACCGTCTGTAACGATACACATGTCAGGGTCTACGCTCTGGTCCCACAGACGGCTGATCCACCGTCTGTAACGATACACATGTCAGGGTCTACGCTCTGGTCCCACAGACGGCTGATCCACCGTCTGTAACGATACACATGTCAGGGTCTACGCTCTGGTCCCACAGACGGCTGATCCACCGTCTGTAACGATACACATGTCAGGGTCTACGCTCTGGTCCCACAGACGGCTGATCCACCGTCAGTAACGATACACATGTCAGGGTCTACGCTCTGGTCCCACAGACGGCTGATCCACCGTCTGTAACGATACACATGTCAGGGTCTACGCTCTGGTCCCACAGACGGCTGATCCACCGTCTGTAACGATACACATGTCAGGGTCTACGCTCTGGTCCCACAGACGGCTGATCCACCGTCTGTAACGATACACATGTCAGGGTCTACGCTCTGGTCCCACAGACGGCTGATCCACCGTCTGTAACGATACACATGTCAGGGTCTACGCTCTGGTCCCACAGACGGCTGATCCACCGTCTGTAACGATACACATGTCAGGGTCTACGCTCTGGTCCCACAGACGGCTGATCCACCGTCAGTCAAGTCCAGGTCAAACCAAGTTCATTGCAGAGTGAACAGACCTAAACTCTATGTCTGTGGTTTTTATTGAACGTATTTTCTGTGCAACTTCTGTGTGGAGTTGGGTTGAGTTGATTGTTTATTTAATTATATCTGAGTTTTCACACAAATCCACCAACAATACTGGACCAAAGTATTGTGCGTTACTGACCTTGGGCCGGTCCGGTTCCAATACCTGGATCCATCCGTCAGAACCTTTTTACCCGTTCATGTCGCTAACGTTGCTAACATATCTCCTGGTTTGGTTTGAGTTTGAGTTATTGAGCACATTCACTGAGTCCAAACGTTATTAAATGTTCCATATGTATATATATATATATATATTTTGTTCTATTTTGGTCAAACTGCCTAAAATATTGTTGATCTTTGAAATAATGTGTTAAATGTGTGTAAATGAACAGTTTGCATCAGTGCGGGGAGTTTAAACACAGCTAACATTGTAGTTGATCTACTGTATTATTCCAGTCTGAGTCCGAGTCTTAGTGACGCAAAAGAGAAAAACCTGTTCTTCTTCGCACACCAGGAACAATCAGGAGGAAATAAAACCCTCATTTCGAAGTCTGTCACATGAGAACGTCCCCACAGACCTCACAAACAACAACTTTCTCAGCTTTTTAGAACCTGCAGCTTTCTCAAAGGTTGTGTTCAGTGGATCAGAGTCCTGGTTCATCCTGGAATTGTTTTTAACTGAAGACGAAGACAAGAACCACAGAAAAACATTAAATTGATTAACAACAAGAGGGAAAGAGGGGAGGCAATTTAACTGGGAGACACGGGTGCAGCACATCTGGGAGACAGAACAGGAAGTAAAACTCAACAAGACACAGGAGAACACACAACCATGACAGTAGCTCCCCAAAAGAATCAAGAATCTATCTTTACAAATTTATTTTAACCTTAAATACTTTCATGATGTGGGATCCTGTTCGATATAAAGGTATAAATGTATAAAACATGTCCATGGTTTACTCTTGTTATAGACTATAAATGTGTTACGCCTGCTGAAGGAGTAGCTCTCTTCATGTTTTATAAAAGTGTCTCTCCAATCGAAAGAGGTGGGTAACCCCTCCTCTAGT